TTTGCTGTTAGAGGTGATGCTTGTACTTCAGATATGGAGTAGAAATGCTTCCAAAGTTGCTGAGATGTCATTCCAGTCAACACTGTCTCTTGCAGAGAAATGAGCATGTGTAGGTTATTTGTGTTTGCAAGAGAAAAAAGTTGTATCCAGCGTTGCTCCTGTCCCTTGCTCACAGCTGAAGTGCTGTGCCCCAGATTAAGATAAGCACCCTCTGGCGAGAGCAGCCTTTTAATAATCTGTCAGTGAGCTTGGTGCATGCTTTATGTTCAGCACTAATTTATTTGAGAAATTTTTCGTCATGAATATAGATGCGACCTTTCATGACAATGACTATACTTGAGTTACTGTAGGTGGAAGCAGGAGGGTATGGGAGCTTGCCAATGTTAAAATTGCTTTATAGTGCTGGCTTCCAAAATGGCATTTCTTATAATTGATTTTATTGCGATCATAACCAGTTAATGTACAGAACCACAACACTGGCATCTGCTTATGCAACCTGAAATAGAGATTACTGAAGTTGTGATTTATAAGTACTTTGTGGAGATGCATTGAATCCAATAAACACAGCCATAACATGACATTGAACTATACAATTTTCCCAGATAAAATATTTACCATTCAATATAAGCAAAATTTTCAAGTAGTAGCACAGAAAAAAATTTGTTAAAATTATTGCAGTATTAAACTTTAAATAGACTATCCTACTTCAGAAATTGGTGTCTAATAGTTGTTATTAATTAGATACTTAAAAGGAAAGAAGGCTTGTGCTTAAACTATACTGCATTTTCTAGAACTGGCTGCAACTCCTGGAATTACTGTAGAGTTATAGTGCTGATCTTCTGTTAACCAGATTATTGCTTTTATCCATCCACAAAATAATCATAAAGACTGCTTATGCATAGAAGTCAAATGAAACACCATGTTTGTAAATTTCCTTGGGTGCTCGAAACCTGTGGAAGATTTGAAGTGAAAAATAAAATTTATCTTGTAATGAAGCTTCACAGAATTCTAGAAGAGCCACAGGTACTTTGGAATTAACGTAAACTGACTCTGGCCTGAATACAAACTTACTGACCTGTGTTAAACATGTCTGAGAAGATCTGTAAGAGCAGTTACTAATTGTAGCCAAACATCACCTGACTAAACTGTTTCTTCACCTCCTTACTCAGGTTGGCAGCTGCAGTAACACCTACCTGTCCTTTTTAATAAAAGAAGCTGGAAGAGAACTTCATTTGAAAACATTGCTTTTGATTTGCTCTATACTGTAAATGTGCCTTAGTAAATAGCTAAATATTTCCTGCTCTCTTGCCTGGGTTGATAGGAAGATCCCATGTATCTGGAATTATGAGTGTCTTCCTCCAACACCACTGAGAATAGTCTTGCCCTGCCTTGGCTTTCCTACCCCTGTTAAAGGGGTAACAAATGTCAGCTGAGTTAGAAGTCTCACATCCTTACAGGAAGACTTATTACCACATGAAGGCAATCGTATCAATCATTCCATCATGTCAACCCCTTCAGAGAAGCTCTGAATTTAGAAATGTAGGAATTTCAGTGGGATTTTCGGTGAGGATACCTAGAGTGGTAACACTGATTCACCCTACTTCCATCCAAATTCCATTTATCATTCAGGTGGTAGGGAAAATACCTGAAAGCCTGCACTGAGCTAGTAGCTTTCTAGGTCAGTAGGAAGTCATCCAGACTTTCATTTTGAAGCCTCTAATGGCAGGATTATCAAACCTGTAAGGCAATTCTTAAGTGCATTGGTGGGGAGATGATGGTCTTATTGATTTAGTAATGGAGGGATTGTGATTGAGGAGCTGTAGGACATCAGAGTACCTGGTAAGGGGGAGATGGATATTCAGTCTGGGATTACTTGAGCCCTTCTTTAGAAGGCAGAGCATTGGCTAAATGATTCAGGCACCAGTCAAGGTTTGGCACAGCCTCTCATCATTAACTAGAAAAAGCAGCAAGAACCTACAACTATAAGGACACACCTTTCTATGTGTGTCAGTGATTCCTTCTCCTAGGGGTGATAATTACTGTGACATTTAATAAGCCTCTGAAACACTTTCTAGCATCAGAAGGTAAGTATTTTCTTGACATTAAAAATTATTTTTAATATGCAGTAGGAAGTTAGTAGCAAGGCATGGTAATATAAGTCTTATGTTCCAGTTTGCCTTTTCAAACCCTAAGCATATTTCCCTTCTGCCTCCTCTTTGATTTTTTTGCATATTGTGCTCAGTTAAGGAAAGGCTTTCAACTTCAGTCAGACAGTTATGATGGTGCAAACTATATGACAGATTCCACTGTTTTGCAATTCATGACTACATTGTTTCTTGGAAAACAAATTATTCCTTGAGCATTAACAGTAAAACATTTCTTGTATTTTTTTTGTTTGTTTGTTCTGTTTTTTATGATGGACTGTGAGCTTAGAATGAAGGTTTTGATCATCTGAGGGATTCATAACATATATTTCCTGAGTAGATTTGCTGTTGTCTCCGTGGTCTTCCAGGATGTGGAAGTGAAAAAACAAGTTGTACAGCAAGAGAAATATGAAGACTCCATCTAGAGTCAGTCTCTAGAGGATTCTGATCTGCAGCTGAAGGAAATGAAGAAGCAGGGTTTTAGGGGATTTGTGTGGATTGCTGTCAAAACTAAGCATGAAGTTGAACCCTCAAATGCTTACATGGTCTGTGATGTGTGTGCTATGTGTTAAATATTACAGTTTCTTAGGTCTTTTCCACTGTCCCACATGGTTACAGTTAACAAGGAGGAAGCACTTAGGATGTGTATGGGAATGGGCAGAGAAAGCTGGAGCTTTCTTGGTCAATGAGAATTGAAAATGACAGACATCCGGTATGTGATGAGACTTAAATACAGGATACCAGGACTCATCCAACTGGGGAATTTGAAAACAACTGGCAAACCAAGTATATTCTCACAAGACAAATCCAAGAGGAAGCAGCTATAAGGGAATGGATTTGAGACATCTGAAAAAACAGAGAAAATGTATAGTGATGCTTTTCACAGAAATCAGGATGGCCCAGGGCTGAATGGACTGGCCTGGATTATAGCTAGGAATTGCTGGACCTATCTGAGGCGCTCTTACTTGCTCCTTCTAGCTACAGCTTAAGCCCAGTGGTATTGTCTGTCTTTGCAAAGTTCATTGCAATATTCCACAGAAATCACCCAGTTACCATTTTTAATTTTGCAGACCAGAGATTCCCAAATTCAATTGTTTACATACATGCAGGTGGCAGCAGCAACTTTTAGCTTCCTTAATTGACAAATGATCTTTTTCAAATTTAACTATGACTCAGATTTGACATTACACTTTAATGACTCATATTCAGTAGGAGTTGAAGCGGAAAACTGTACCATTTGTGTTTGTTTGTTTGTTCCTGTGTTAATACAGGAAGGGAACTGTTTTTCTATTGCTCCAGGACACTGTAAATTTTTGCAACATATAGCAAGGACTTTAACTAGGTTTATAAAAGACAAATATTAATCTAATGGCATCCAAAAGCTCTTATGGTTACTGCCCATGCCTGAGAGGTTGAAGGAAATAGTATATCATTGATATTCTGATTGAAATGTATGAAAGAAACTCCAGTAAGATTAGTATTTTATATAGGATAAAGAAAAGGCAATAGGAGTTTCCTTTTTTAAAATGAATCTTAAAATTTGATCTCTTTCACTAATTTAAAACAATGTGAAATTTTATGATGGAGTCACTCTCTGAGGAGCCCCACTTCCATCTGCCTCATGACCTGAACTGGATCCTCATTAATTTTCTGGTACCCACACGACTGTGAGTCACTTCTGTAGCAATAGCATTCAGAAGCAGAAGGATTAGTGTCCACCATACAGACTGCACTACAAACTCACATGTACACAGAATTTGTCCCCTATGACGCTCACAGTTCAGGGTGACAGGATATGGCACTCAGAAGGGTTAACAAAACATGTACAGAAAGAGTATGGCCAGCATAGAAGTGACATCCATCATGCTCCAGTTACTGTTCTCATAGATACATCTATTCAGTGGATTTGTGTAATAGAGAGGCCTCTGCATTATATCCACAAGGGCAGGGAATTAGTGTTTAGAGGAACTTGGATCCATAGGAGCAGAATCTAAGCCACTTTAAGCTTTTCCACAAATAACATCACAGTGAGAATGAGCCATAGAGCAGGAGATGTAACAATAACACCTTTGGTGAACACTGATCATTTCAACACCTACAAGTGCAAGGCCAGGGATCAGAAGAAATGAGGGGAAGGTAGCCAGCTGGCCACCTTCCTATCCAGTCTTCCTCAAAAACTAACAGGCACTATCTGTGTCTTTTGCCAGACTCAAGAAGAGTAGACAAAGAAAATGAAAGACAGCTGATCTTATCTTTTAGAAGAGCAGAACAGATATGCCTGAAATTTCCAGATGGGAAGTAGTCGTAAGAGAAAGTGGAGATGTAAAAGAGGGAGACACAGTCACTGAGGTCAGTGGATGTCAGGACTGAAGCAGCACAGACAAGAGGTGAGGCAGAATCATGGGAAAACATGGCACATGTTTCTGTAGCTGTTGGGTGTCTGTCAAAACCAGCACAAACCGAACAAGTCCTGTGGGAGCAGCTCTCTGCTTCTCCTTAGGAATTCATGACATACAGCTACTGCCAGTGGTGGCTACTTTCATAAAATGTACAATTATCCACAGGCCATTTTTCAATGTCAACTCATGCAATGCAGTCATTTTGGGGTAAGATTTATATCAAGATCTGAGAAATCCTAGGAGATGAGGACATATTCAGAGCAGAAATGGGGAAAGGCTCCCTGAACACTCACTCAAGCCCCACGCTGCTGGAGCTACAACACTGCTCACGTGGCAACCTGGGGACCAACTCCACCAAAGCAGTAATTGACTGTAACCTACATTCCTGAAGAGATGGCTCTGCCTTCTCCTGCCATGCACAGCTGCCTGTTGCAGGTTTTCCTCCCCCAGCACTCACCGTCCGTGATTCCCTCCCGGCGATGAGGCAAAGAGGGCTGCTCCAAACGTCCGCCCTTGTGTTTTTTCGTGGGCCTCGGCCTCTGACCCTGATTGACAGCTGCACTGGTGTTGCTGTCAGTAGAAAAAGGACTGCCTGGCCGAGGTCTCTGAGAGGAAGAATATGCTTTGCCTAAAGAAGTGGAAAAAAAAAAAAAAAAAAAAAAAAAAAAAGAGAGGAACCAGATGAAAAAATGTTATTGCCTTGAAATGGGCTGTTCTATTAATGTCTGCTCCAAAACATTAAATCAGGTCTAATTCTCAGAGGCAGGCAAGTGTCCCCTCAAGGTTCCCACTGATAACAACTGCTTTAAGACACACCACAAGAAGTGAAGTAGAGAAACTTGGCATTCTTTTGTCTTTAACTTTTATAATTAAAATTATTCCATCTGTTGCGATAAAACTACTGTATGCCATATAACTCCTACCTGCTCTGTGTGCTGAACAGATGTGTCATAACAACTCCTCAGCCTTGAGCAGGGAGGGAAAACAGTTCTGCAATCATATCAAATTTATCTCCTCCTGCCTTCCACTTTCATGTTTTCTGAGCCAGATTCTCATTTTAGGGGCTCCCATATGCGCTGTATATCTGGAGTAACTCCAGCAAGATAAACATATCTGATTTTGTAAGCTATGTAGCATTGCAGCACTGTATACTTAAGGGCTCTCTTTTCTCAAGAAATAAAAATGGGGGTATATTTAAAAGCTAAAATTTTCCAGTTAATTTTTAGTACTTTTGTTTTTTAAAAATATATCTTGTGACGTCAGATTTATGTATATATCTTTTTATATATGTTGTGTATATATATACACACTATTAAAGCTATATGATTTCTCTTAAAGAAATATTTTTGATGCTGTTCTATGGAGCAGAGTTTAAAAGCCTCAGAATTTAAAGAGCACATTTATTACATTAACTTCCCCTTATTCTGATATTTTTATTCTGTTAACTAGACTTAATATTTAATGATAATGGATGAAAACTAAAAATCACCATCTTTGACTTTTTTTGTTCATGTGTATGTCATTCCTGCAAAATTTTGGAGATGTTAACATCTCAATTCATTTAGAATTGGTAATTACATATTTTAATGCTATCTGCAGTGGAAAATGCTTAAGCCAGTCTGAACTTCTTCTCTTTCAATGCTGCTTTAGGCCCCAAATGGTGTAAGAGATGACAGAAATCGGCAAAATGGGTGATGGATATTTTTCTGGTCAACTGGGCCCATGGTAAAAAGGAGATCTTTTTATCCTCTGGTTAACTTAGATCATGGTTTACCTTGCAGTGGGCTACGTTTTCTAGTAAAACCTTCCAACAGATGTGCTTACTTCCAACATGCTGTCACATACAATCTGATCTAGGAATCTAACTATCAGCCTAACAGGGAGTAATATGCAGCTCAGCATCTGAAATACTCTCAGCACCAAGAAGGCAAAGTGAAAAAGCCATATTCTCTCTAGCATGTTGTTTCGCATTAAAGCACACGTTAGGACAATATTTCACTATTGGACTTCAGAGATTTCATAGCTTGGTTGTCTACCTCCTGACTGCTGTGCAGCCTGAGGAGGGCACTGCTCTCAGGCAGGCTTGTCCCCAGCTGCACATCTCTGCCAGCAATTGGAGGTTACCACATTTGAAGCCTTCATTTGGATGTTCCCTAACCCTCCTCTACATAAAAAAAAAAAAAAAGAAAAGGAAAAAAAAAAAGCCCAATTGAATTTATATAAACTGAAAACACTGCCTTTGCTAACCTAGCTCATTTTAACCAAAATTGGGTTACAGAACACCCGCCCAAGCAGCTAATTCTGGAGCTGGGAGAAAGCAAGGAATAAGCATTTGGGAACATTAACCTCTATAGCTGGCACAGCTGCAGCCAGACAAAGACAAGTGATCAAGCCCTTGTTCCATGGATAAGGATAACACAGCAGATGAACACAGACAAAATATTGAAATTTCATTTAAAAATAAAAATAAAAAAAGACTCCTAATGCAAAGATACTCAGATGTGAGCCTGAAATTTCATCCCAGCTCACAGCATGCTGCACAGATGTTTTGCAAAAATAAACTCACAACATGCAAGTGAGTGCAGGACACAGATTCTTCACACTTATTCTTTTGACTAAAGAGATGTGATTGTTCATTCAGAATGTTGGTTTTAAAAATAAATAGACACATTCTCCTTTATCCCTTCACAAAAATGAGGCAAAGTAAATAGCACCTAAATCATACATGGTGCAAACACAAATGATGTGCCCCTATCACATTTTTCAGTGCACTTAATAACTGGTTACAGCATCTTGTATTTGTATGCAGCCCTTCCAGTAAGAACTGCTGAGCAGTGTCAGACTTTCTGCAGCAGATTTAGTGTGTTTAAGTGGAGACAAGGATGAATCCACTAATTCTTGATTTAATTTCCCAAGGGTGTTAAAAAGGAAAGCTGTTTGAACTTCATGGCAAATCACATGATGGCTTCTGGAAACTGGAATCAAAGTGTCTGGCAGGAGAGACACATTGCATCTGGATTCACCAGTGCCTCTCATGCTCGGCAATCAAACATTCCCACGTGAGGCTATCAAGCTGGACATCTCCTTTACTATCTACCGCTGAGAGTATTTCACAGCTGTTCTAAATGAGTGGAAATAACTGTCCAGACTGCAGAGGAATAAAGAGTCAGGACCTTCAGGCTCCCTCCAGAGCAATGAGCAGGATAACACTGCTGCTTCTGCACTGCCAGACACCGTGCTGCGCTCTGGGGTGTCTGACCCAGCCACCCTGCCCTGCCAGGTGACACATCCGAATGACACCGCAGCGAGCAGGGGGAGCACTTCTATTTCCTGAGTAAAAGGAAAAAGAGGAAAAGCAGGCTGTTTGTTTACATGTGGGTTTTTATTTTATTTCCATTTTGCCTGCTGGATCATTAAGAGAGTAATAATCATCGAGTACCACAACTGCTGGATCCCTTTTTGTACCCCTATGTTCTAATGATCTGTCTGAGGAATTATGCACACACTCACTGTAAGTGCATGTGTGACCTAATCAAGCTAGAAAAATGCAGCTGACAAGGGGGCTCTCATCCTTTCCTTCTAGTTTACATTCACATAACTACAATAAAAAAAAAAATCATATTTATTCTAAAGTGTCTGTGTTTGTGTGTCCATTTACTTGTGTTACGAGCGTGTTTGTGGTGGAAACTGCACTTCTCAGAGGTTCAATACAAGTGAAGTAATTTTGGTGAATGTTTGCATTAACTTTTACTAGAGCAAACACCACCAAAAAAAAAAAAAGGTTGGAAAATATTTGCTCTTTTAATTCAGAATCTGGGAGACTCCTCAAAGAAAACAGTATATTTTAAGTTATAGTTCGGCCAGATGTGTCCATACTAGATAAGTTAAGGTCTACATGAGTTTTCTTGTTTTGTTTTTTTTTTGTCTGTGTTTTGGGTTTTTTTTTGTTTTTGTTTTTTGGGGTTTTTTTTAAGTCGTACGTCAGATTTGCTCAATTTTCCATTAATAGAAGGAAACAACTGAGGGCTTCAGCTATGGTGAAATAATCTTTTAAGGATGACTATGTCTGACCAAAGCCAGTGGTAAAAATCCCAGTGATTTGAAAAAAGCTGGGCTTAAGGCTTTGCCTTAACTCTTTCCTTTATTCCTAGTGTTCCTAAAAGGCAGTCTTTGCCATGAAGTTATTGCATACAGAAAGCCTACAGTTTTCAGCCCCAACATGTGAGATTTTCTCTTAAATGCTCACATTTTAGTGAAGGACAAACTTCATAGACTTCATGGAGAAATAGTCTAAAAAGTTTAAATGATAGGAATATTATGGGATCTGTCATCCAGAATTAGCTGAGGAAGCATAACAAAAAATATGACACAAGTTCACACTCTGCTATTAGATTTGTGGATTTAAATAATTAGTTATTGTTGCTATTTTGACAAGACTAAGAAAATGCAAATGTATTCTTTTATTACCAGAATAAAGATAATATTTCTTTATATTTTTAAACAGAAATGAAACATATGGAGCTTTAAAAATAAGAACTATAATAAATATAGTTTTCATTAATTAGTTTCAGAAGATTGGCTGTTTTCAAATGTAATATCCACTTTACCTGTGTTACATTTTACTTGGCTGATTCAGTTGACATAACCAAAATTAAATGTTATCAAAATATATTAATTTATTGAATTAAGGATTTTTAAAATAAGCTATTAATTAAGCTTTAAACAGTTTGTATTGTTAACAATCAAAGCACATCAATTCACCCCATGCTCAGAAAAACTTCACAGAAAAACACACTTTTGCAAGATGAAATGCAAGAGAAGAGCAGGGATGGAGATAACAGTTTAAATGCGATGTTCATCACTGGAAATGTGAATGATTGTGAGGAGATTTTTCAGAAAGTGAAATTATCAAAGGCTGCAAGGCAGAATTAGTAACCTCTTCACCAAAATATTAAATGAGCATATGTCAGTAAATGTAGAGCAGAGTCAGCACTGAGGGGAACTGCAGCAGACCAAAGGTGCAGATTAAAAGCTTGTGCTATTCACTACTTCAAATCATTAAAAGTGAAACATAACTCAAGGTTTCATTGAAAATATACCGATAAAAGTATCTCCATCCACCTTATCCCATGCATGTTAGACAAGTGTGAGACTCGGTTTCACTGAGAGAAGGATAGGCAGAGACACCCTTCATGCAGAAAGCATCAACTTTGAGTCTACAAACCTGTTCTTGTCAGGCTGGTTCCATCCAGCCTAAACCCAGCTTTATCTGCTGCTGCAACCAGTGCTTGTGCAAAAGTGCCGCTGGTAAAGATGGAGTCATCTGAGGAGCTACCTACACTAGATCTATGACTAGAAAAGTTACGGTCCTCATCAGACGCAGAACCCCAGCCATTTACCATTGAACCTAAAAACAAATGTAGGGGGCTAGTGAGTGGTGCACATTTGATAATCTTTTTTCATCTAAAGCTTAAAGACCCACTTAATACGTCCTTTCTCAACAGGAAACCCAAAATTTATTTGACAGAGCTTGGTACAGAACAGCAATATTCATCTAAAGCTTAAAGACCCATTTACTGTGTCCTTTCACAATACAAACCCCAAAGTTTATCTGACAGGGTTTGGTACAACAGAGCACCAGCAGAGCTTGGTGAAATCGCATCTGTAGCTTGCTCCATGTAGCTTTGATCCAGTAAACAGAACAATACATATTCTCCACAAATGCAAAAGCTCCACAGTAAATTCATTTGAAAATTAATGTATTCTTTTTTCCTGTGATCGAATTGAGTATGGCTGGTTTTGTTATTTTTGTTTTACTTGTCTTGTTACAAATCGGTATCTAGTTTGATATTTGCCAAACCAAGTCTTAGTTTTGGACTACATACATGTAAGTCGCAGTAGATATGGCTAAAGTCAGACCTTCAAGAACTTCAAAAGCTATTCTGGACAAGACTGGCACCATGTAATTTTGTGAATCATAACCTTAAAATAAATGAGCAGTTTTAATGGCCTGAAAATAGCTGATCAAAAATAGTTCACTCTAGTGGATTAAAGTAACTTTTTTAAAAGGTTAGAAATAATGAAGATTCAGGAGCAAAGCAAATATGCTTAGATTTAACACTGAGTCGCTAAACCAGTGTTGGCCCCATGGTACCTTCTAACTATGGATTACCACCACTGCAGGAGAAGAAGGTGATAACAACACCATAAAAATGCAGTCAGAAAACCAGATACCAGAAAAACCACATGGAAGAAGCACAGAAATCTTGACATAACTGAAATATAAAGAGCAAAATAGAGAAGAAAGGATTAATCTTATTTGCTCTTCGCTTATGTTCTATTTTTTCTGAAGCATGAATCAAGCATCAATCAGCTGCCCATCACTTTCAAAAGCTTAATTTTTATTTTTTTTCTGAGTACTGTAATTCTGTTTCTTTCAGGGTTTCAGATGGAGATGGTGATGTTCTGTACTTCTAACATATCCCAGGGTCATTCTGCACCATGCAGTGAAGCAGGAGGCAAAGGGAAGAGCCAGCAGCAGACACTTTGCTCCAGGAACAGGGCATTGTTAAATGAGCACCAAACCTGGGTGAGGTGCAGAGCTACCAGAGAGCTTTTGGGACCTGAGCTGCTGCATGGCATTGCATGGTGCTGTGTGGACACAGTGTGTTGTTCTGAGATAGTACAGGCACCACCCCCATCTCAAAGTACCTGAAATGTGCTTTTTAGTAAAAGCTATATGTTGGGAAAAAAAAAAAAAAAAAAAGCCCAGTGAACTTGTGAGAATCTGCAGAGAACTGGTCTTCAAAGACATGAAGACACGTGTGGAGGGATGCATCATGGCCCTGACTTTACTCAGTTAGCAGAGCTGAATTTCTGTAAATGCACATGAAATGTGTAGCAGTACAGTAGCTTTTTAAAAATCTGTGTCCAAGAAAACATTTCTGTGTTTAAAATTGTTAAGTAGTAAATCAATAATGACCTGCTTATTGGCTAATTGATAGGCTAATTAACTAATGGTGGTGTCAAATATTAAAAATGTCCTGCAAAAACAGGTCATGAGTACAATGAATGAATCCTGGAATTCAGCAGCATGCTGCACCACAAAGCCCAAGAACAATGGATTATTTTGTGATGCTGCAGTTACCAAACCTTTTAATGTCAGAGAAGTGGCAGGCTATAATAACAAAAACCCTTGCACTCCTCAGATACAAGAAAAGAAACCAAAGAGGTCTGCGGAGGTCTGACAGGCAGAAAGTGTGTTAAGTGCAACAGAGAGTGACAGAGTTTGATTCTGCTTGCCAAAAGCACACATAAAATTGTTATTTTCCAAACAGACTCGACCTGATGCAGACAGATGTGAGGGAGCCCAGATAATAGCAAGGGAAGGCTAGAACTGAATTTCCTCTGAGAAGACATTTTCTGAACGAACAAAGTGCGATAGGACATCATAGAGAATGGAGAGCAAAGATGCTCAGCAACAGTTATTGGTGATGTATGAAAAGAGATACTACAGATAAAACACTTAATGAAGATGTAAGAAAATGAAACTCTATAACTGAGGACATTTTCAAACAATCACTTATAGACACTTTCCACAAAATATGTGAGAACAAGCTGAAACATAAAAATGTAACTAGAGCTACACATATCAAAGGATGGATGATACTTAGATGCTAAAAATTTAACACGTGTGCCATTAATTTCAGGGACCAAGGGTTTTGTGCCATATATTCTATTGTCTATGTAGAGACATATAAAACCATATATAGAGCACTTTTTGTTTTCAGTGTCATGGTCCGTGAGACTATGGATGTTTTAAGAGAACTTTTAATTTCTATTTCTCACATTGCTTTGTCCATTTGCTAACCACAGCTGTTACAAAACACACAATGCACATGGTAATTTGGATGTGACACTTTCAAGCTGTGTGTAGTAGCTGTTTTTTGTTTGCTTTGTTAATCAGTAAAACAAAATAATCTCATTTTAGGTATGAAATATACTGAAAATCTGCAAAGGGGCATAGTGTGTGAATACAGCTATTGTTCTACACACTCATAGACATGGCAGTTTTTCTAAAATTATGTACATTTTTATTATTGGACTGCCAGTTTTCTAGCCTAACCCTATAAAAAAGCTCTGATCCTCAACTCCTCCACATTCCCATGGACAGTGAGTATGAGCAAGGCTGGGAATATAGATCACTCCCCCTTTCCCTCTCCTCCAGCAGCTGTTCTAGGAGGGACCTGTCATGCTGGAAGCATGTTCTTGCAGGGACACGAGTTTTACTGAGATGTCATGACCCCACCTGGATTTCTGCATCCATTTCTGGGGTCCCTGGCATGAGGCAGACATGGACCTGTGTTCAAGTGTGTCCACAGAGGAGCCACAACAATGATTAGAGTGTTGGAGCCCCTCTTCTGTGAAGACAGGCTGGGACAACTGGGGTTGCTCAGCCTGGAGAAGAGAGGGCTCTGGGGAGATCTTCCTGCAGCATTTGAATATATAAAGTGGGATCATTCCAATGACAGAAAGAGGCTTTCTGATAAGGTCTGTAGTGACAGGACAAGAAGCAAAATTTTCAAACTGAGAGAAGGTTAAGATTACATACAAGGAAGAAATTCTTTACCATCAGGATAGTAAGGCACTGGAGCAGGCTGTCCAGAGAAGCTGTGGATGTTCCAGTCCTGGAAGTGTTCAAAGTCAAACTGGATGGGGCTCTGAGCAACCTGGGCTAGTAGAAAGTGTCCCTGTCCATGGTAGGGGGATTGGAACAAGATGACCTTTAAAAGTCCATCCTAGTCCAAACCATTCTACGTTCCTTCTGGTTGCCAGAAGCAACTTTTTATATAGGAACTTTTTCTAACTGCTGAAGTCAGCAAAACATCCTGAGAAATGCACAGCACCCACAGCTGTGTGTCACCAGGGAGCTAAAGGCTAAATCTCTGTATTATTTCTACTGCTTCCTGAGCTATTCAGTTTTCCTGCATAAATCATTTCTTTTCCCCACCCAGCAAAACCTGCAGCAGTAAATCCCGTTTTGCTCTGACCTGCAGAGGTGTAGACATTGCCCAGAAGGCAGTGCTGGAGCCCAGCCCGGGCACCTCAGGCCACCACACAGCTGTGTTAACACAGCACACGTGGTGACTGCTTGTTTGAAGGCATCCACTGGCCTCTTGCTTTCCAAATCAGATGCACATTTGTTTTTTCTCTGAATAAAGGCAGAATAAGAGATGCTGACGTTCCCTTCAGATCAACTGTGCATTTTGAAATGGGATGAAACAGGCTTTTAGTGTCTCCTTTACATGCAGCTCACTGTGTGTTTTCCAAGAGCACATTTGAGTTTTTACGCTTTCTGGCAACTGTAAATTTTACTCTTGCTGACAGCAGCAGTAAATGCTTTATGCAGAACAAAATCAGCTCTGTGAAAAGTTGAACTCTGTTTTCTTGCTCCATAAAATATCTCTTGGTGCTAATGCAAATAGAAAGCTTCTTTGCTCTCAGGGAAAGGTGAGGGAAACAGAGGTGCCAGCTTCCAGTAGATTGCATACTACTGCTTTTAGTGGCATTTGCTGGCAATAAAAATGCAATTTTTCTTTGTAAAGTGTACTGTTGCTTTACTTAAAAAATAATAATAAAAAAGTCTAATGCCCCTGTGAAATAAAAGCTGCTCACAACTAATCTGGCACTTCTGAGAGTTCCATTAGATACTTTTCTGCATCTACCAACCTCCATGTGCTTACTTCATGTATTTTCCTTTACAAGAACATCCAGCACATATTTATGTTAAGCCCCTGTTCTTCTGCAGTTTTTAAATGGAACAGGGATAGACTGCTCATGTTTCTGAAGTGTGGGTGATGTCCTTGGGGACTGATGCTACTTCAGCTGAAATCAGTTCCAGAATTCTTTTAGCTTTTGTATAGGAGGAGGGTATCATCCTCTCTTGGATATGTCTGACCACTGTCATGATTACACAGCAAGAATGCCCACTGATTTTGGTGGAAGTGAGGGAATAGAAGGGGAAATAGGCATTGTACCATCAGAGTAAAGAAGAGTAATATAAGTGTTTGAATTCAGAATCTAAATATAAACACACTTCCAAAAACTAGGCTTTGTTTTTTACTTTCCTCCAACATAAATGCCCATATATTTAAATGTATACACCTGAATAAACCTCAAAGTTTTAAATGTTTTATTTTTGGGCAGAAAAAACTAAAAAAAGCCCATAAATATATATTATATATATATATACAAACATTAAATATATATAATTTATAATATAAATTCATAGATATTCAGCACTTCACAGGTCCAACGATAATTAATGACCTTCATAAACATCTAATGAAAAATGAATTTATGTCACTTAGCCAAATTTATTTCTGTTTGCATTCCATCCTTCTAGATTTTTTGGTTTCCATATTGCTGAAAGGCACAAAAAAATCTCAAATTTATTCAAGCTGTTAGAAAAGAAATGCACACAGAACATTAAGTAGTTGCTCAAATGTTGCTGAGCAGTAAAATACTATGATAAAGTGGCAACTTGCTGTGTCTCTATTACTTCTTCAGCACTAAAATTAATTTATGATCAGTCATCAATTCATTTACATGTCATTTTATGCTAAATCTATCGTTGCTGATGAATGCATATCCCTAGATCCATTAAGCTGGAGTAAAGTCTGTGCTTTATAATATGACCCTGCTAATTGTTGCATTACCATTTTTATGAGATACAAAAAGTATCAGTTTCCTATTTTCTGAGCACATATTTAATCCATGAAGCACATTCTTCCTATTAAATGCAATCTGTCTAACTGCTTATAAAATAGAATCTTTTGCAATAGGTATCCTTAAGCAAATCAATACAAATATTGAGCTCTGCCATGGTAAAATATGGCTCATGAAAATGATATTGTGCAGTTTTCAAGAATTATTCCTTTTGTGCTCAGACACAGTGTATGAACTACTTTTCCATACAGACAGTGATCAGTGAGTCTTTTAATCAAGACCAAAACATGTCAAATAAAGGATATTCTTCCTTGCTGAGCTACACAATCTACAGAGATTTTCATAATTTAGATCTATATAATTCTATTGAAAAAAAAAAATTGTTACCTATTTTTTGAGGCACTGTTTAAAAGAATGTCTCTCTGTCTATATCAGTTTGTATCAGTTAGGTATAAGAGGTCCTGCAATAATTTCCATTCTAGTTAATGAGTCCAACTCTTCCCTCAGTCAAAACACACCAGGACTGAAGATACAGCAGCTCTCACTACTAGCTTCACTGGTGCTGCAGGAGGAAGAGGAGATAAGGAGAGGGCAAAGAAAACCCCCAGACCATAACACTTTGACCTGAAAAAACCTAGGCTTTCTCTTAGTCATTTCAATGAGAAGCAAATTTATTTCTTCTACAGTCATCATATGCAATTAATTAAGTCTATTAAAGTGGAATAGGGCAACAGACTTTTTGTGGCCATTTGTGCCATAACTCTGCACAGCAATTCATTATAAAGGCAAACATTAAGCAAGAGGGGAAAAAAACCCCTATTTCAATGTGTCTCTGAAAGCAAAAAATAATCCTAAATAATTATGAATTAAAAGTCAAGGAAGCAGAAGTTTTACCAGTGTTTTTTGGTTCTTTGTATTTTCTTTTTAAGCAGATTCAGTGACTCAAAATCCTAACAAACTACACTGGGAATGGAGCAAAACCTTGGCTTTAATTTCATATTGCATCTCACAAATGTGCAAATCTAAACCTCCCTCCTTGAGTTCTCTTTGTAATATCTGGAGAATGTTAAAATACAGTTCCTGTGCATTCCTCCTGTCTTTTCACTTTATTATACATGTCAACATTATGTCTCTGCCACCTGCAAAGAGAAAAGCTTAATAGTGCAGATTAAACCCTTGTCTGAATCTTCAGTTAGCTGTGACTAAAACTCAAGGGCCTGGAAGACAACTTGACTTTTAAACAGTTTAAAGGAGCAGCACTGTGGTGTCAGAGGGATTCAGTAGTTTGTGCTTTGGCTCACGCAGTGCCAGTGCTTCCCCTCGGAGAATCCCACGTTTGGTGCTGCAGGAAATCCTTGTTCTCAGCTCAGCCATGAAGAACAAAGCCCCATTCCAACCCAAGAGTGGGTATCTTTGAGGCATTGCTGAGGCTTGCTAACACTGCAGGGTGAGGAACCTCACCCCGCTCCCTCCACAGCAACTCTGGAGGAAGTCCGGGCCAAGGGATGTCAATTTAGATTTCTCACAAACACTGAACTCCCAGGGCACTTCAGAATGAACAGAAATATTGCTTCATCTGGGTCAGCTGTTCTCATTTGCCTCCATTTTCAAATACATTTAGAGAAGAGAAAACATGATCTATAAATTCTTAGAAAAATGCTGGCTGAAGTCACCAAGGGCTCTGAGAAGAAGCAGCTTATGTATTCTCAGCACAAGAAGGAACAATTTAGTTGTTCTACAGTATTTTAAGAGCAATCAAATTGAAGAATGAGAAACAGCTTGGGAGCAACTGAAGCAATTTGCTATACACTCCTGAACACTATCAAACACAGCCTAGAAGAGTTAACAGAAACAGATAAACAAAAATTAAAATCGTCTTTTGAAAAACAAAATTTGCTCAACTATAATAGGCAATATCTTTCCACCATTGGAATAAAACAAGCCCAATACAAACTCTTCTAAAATCAAGGTTTTATCCATATAGTAACTGAGGAATACAGAAGTAATTTTGTTATATGGATATTTTGCCATCTTACAGACCCTTTATGCTAACACTCTGGGTGTACTTCTGTAAGGCTATCATTCTTTAATTAAGTCAGTCTAAATGTTGCCTAAGTGCTATAGGGGCAGTCTATAATTTTGCTTCCCTTCCTGCAGTGCCAGCACACACCTTGCCATGCAGTGAACCACAGCAAGGAATAGATCCAGCCAGTAATTAAACAAGTAAAAGAAAAAGCAAAAGAAAAACCTTAATTTTCAGCTGGATGAGGCCACATGAAGTTAGTGATGGGGATGACTAGAAGTGTATTTAGATCACCTTAAGTATACTCCCAGTCTATATTATCAAATTCTGCCCAATTTCTCCCAAAATACCAAGAAGCCTTTAACAGTCCAGTGATTAGACATTTAACACTTCAAAAATTAAACAAGGTTTTAAAATATTATAACAAGTTTGAAGGTTATTCGTAAAATGATAGATTTTAATAAGCACTAAAGTTTCAGATTGGCGCAGGAATACAACTCTTCCTTATTTAGTCTTGGGAGGGTGGCCCAAACTATGAGGTGAAGATAGAAATGTGGAAACATTCTTTTTCTGATTTACAGATACATAAGCATTGCCATAGTAATATATACCAAATGAAAAATGTATACCAACCTTTATTTATTTATTTATTGCTGTTCTACTAGTGCAAAATTCTTAGCGAATTGCTAACAGAAAGGCTTCTGAGCCACTAGTGAGAGATGAAAAACTATGCAGAATTATAGCCTGAGGGAGATTACACTAGAAATTCAAGCAAAGTGAGTTAACATACTCAAACACTAAAAAGTTAACCTTCTCAATTCAGGGATTTAAACTTTATGGCCTTCAGTTGCATCTGGATTTCAAATCGCAGCAGCACAGATGCAATTCTTAAATCTTAATTAGATTGGCAAGCAGTCTGGCTCTAGGGTGAAGGAAAACCTGGAAGGTGGGATTAAAGTACACACTATTTCACTCAACAAGGCAAAGGAAGAAAATTATTGATGCTCCATCACTGTCATATTCCTGCAGTGTTTTCAGAAATCAATCTTTAAGTGTGAGTGCAAAAGCCTTGGAATTTCAGAGGTCCAGACAAAGATGGAATTCAGTGCTGCTGTGGTAGGAAGTTGTTCTGAACAAGTCTCCCTTAATGGAAAGCAAACAATCAGAGCTGCTGAGATCACAAACTGAAGCAGCACCCACTAACGCTGTGGCACTGGGGATATTTGGGTCTCCAGCACACCTCCACATTATGGACACAGGCCCTAGTTCAACCTAAAGAGAACTGCACCGCTGCTTACAAAAAGTACATGAAGTCCATATAAAATCTGTGTTTTTGAAAAACAGTGTCTTTCATTGCCTACAGCACCACCAACAGCAATTTCATTCATTCAGATTCCATGCATTAGTTTATTGTAGCAGACCTTTCTAGGTCCCCTTTGATGATGATGTAGCTTTCCAAGGCATGCAAAGGACAGAAAGAAGTGAAGGAAGGAGAGTCAGAATTATTAAACAGATTTTCTAAAATGGAACAATTACTGAATTCAGCAATACAAAGTATGTTCAAAATACACACTTTCCTATAAAAATGTTGTATTTACTCTAGAAATAAATATTGTGCTGATCTAGCTACACTTACTCTGAAGTCTTTAACTTCCTTGTGTTCATCTGGGAAAGCATTTGCCCAGCAGAATATCTAAAAGTGCTTTAAGATAACATTTTTATGGTGCTCCTGATTTATTAAATATATATTGCTAAGCTGAGGTCTTCCCCCTCCTTTTTATGTAACTGCCTTGCTTCTCTAGTAGAATGAACCTTTCATGAAAGCTAGGATGTAACTGAATTTTCTTTCAAGTCTTTAAAGCTTTTTTAAAATTCATGAATTTCCTTATCATTTTGCAGCAAAGCAAAGTATTTAAAAATCCTTCTTTAACTTTAGTATTAACATTTTAAATGTTACAGAAATCAAGTGGAATAAATTTTCACTTAGAAAGAGTCCAAATGGTGATGCATTTTACTGGTAGTAACAAGTTGGTGTCACTGTGTTTGGTTACCTGTCACAGAGCTGTCTAGATTGTCCATACTGGAGCCTGGAGTATGCTCTAGACCTCTTAGTGGCCTACTGATTTCTACAGTTTCTTCTTCAATATCGTCCTCATCATCATCATCATCTGGAACATCTGTTTCCAAATCTGAAATAAGGTTTCCAGATACGTATCCTAGGGGAGGGACTGGAGCCTGAGGAGGTTGTGTATTGCTTTGGATGTGCCTACACAAACAAACAGGAAAAGTTATCAGAATGGATGAGGCTTTGCAGCCCATAGTCAATAAAACACAAGCCTTTCAACAAGTCCTGAAATAGATTTACAAAATGTGCTTGGTTAGGCCAAACTCAAGAAAAGTCAGTACAGTTATTCACCGCAGCTTCTAATACCAGAGTGCCTGCACACTTTCCAGTCTTAAATAAAAAGAATAAAGATTAAATCCTCTAGGATGGGGAAGGTCAGGATTGTCTTCTCACAATGAAGAGTGATAGACACAGAGGCTACAGAAATCAGGTAGGAAATCCATGGAAAAGCACAGTTCTGAATCCCAGCCTAGCACGTAAGTGTCTCACCCAATATTTCCCCTTGCAAATCACACATTGAACCAAAGTTAAATCTCACTCCTTACGCTTAAACAGATGCAGTGCCTGAAGCAAAAGTCACCCTAAAGAGGAGGAAATGGCCAGCAGGACAGAAGAAATTTTCGAGTCCAATGAACCCATCATCAGTGAGGCCTTTTCATTTTGCTTTATTCCAGGAAGTTTAATTGATTTAATTGCAGCAGTATTAGGGCATGCATGTGTGAAATTACTGCATGCAGCAATCACATAAAACAAAAAAAAAAGAAAAAAAGAAGACAAAAAGAGCACCCACAGGATAGCTAAATGGCCAAAGGCAAGCATGGGATTCAGAGTTTGAGAGAAAAGAACACCATCAGCCTTCAGAGCAGCATTCCCCACAGCACAACAGGTACACAGCAAGCTGTGCCAGGGGAGCCAGGCATGACTGGCCTTGGCACAAAAGCATGTACCACGCTTGAAATTGCTAACTTAGGCACGTGGGAATCCTTGGGTGGCTCTGCATGAGGTGCCATGACCTGATTTGAATCGGCAGCACTCTGGATGGGATCCAGGATTCTGCTGGTCTCTTGCTTGGACATCAGTAAAACTGAAGAAATTACAATTGTCACCTGTTTGGCTCCTAGCTATAATACATTTTCAGTGGAAACTTTGTGCTGAATTATTGCCTACATGAATGAATTCTCGTTATCCAATAAGCCTTTTTTTTTATTTTTGTAATGTAAATCTATCAGATATGAGAATGGCATGGTAAATGTTGTGTAGTACTGGTAACTTTCTTCACCTCAGTGTAGGTTTTAACTTATTGCTTATTCTGAATCTAATTTCCAGAACAAGTGCTTCCTTTCTGACATACAATCCCCTTCTGATTAACAGTTATTGAACACTTTTCTGCCTGGACACCAGGTTTTTAGTGTTCTACACAGTGTTCAAAACACTGGGGCACTAAAGGGCACTACCATCTAACTAACCCTCAATAAACAGTGTGATTAGTTCCTAATCAAGCAAAATGCTTAAGTATATGTTTAATGTTAAGCTTGTGATAGAACAATTGAAGTCAATTTCTCATGTACTCATAGTTAAGCATACACTTAAGTGATTTGCTGGATCAAGGCCATAATGATTATGTACTTTTCCAGTAATCTCTAATAGGCTCTTTCTTAAATTCCTAGCTGGCTGATCTCTATTTCTCAGTTGCTTCTCCCACAGTAACCTATCTGACAGGTCTCATTTTGCTGTTTAGTTTTCCCTGCCTCTACAATGGACAGGTTAACTTTGTGAAAAGAAGACTGAAAAATATTCCTTCCCAGTCAAAACAATGGAGAACTTTCTACTAACTTTGACTAGCATGATACATATCCAGCCAAACAAAACAAAACAAAACAAAAACAAAAAAACCCCCAAAACAACACAAAAATCCCCCCAAAAATATATGTCATAAAAATCACTTTCAGCACTCGGCCCAATACCCAAAAGGTATGAAAAAAAGGTTGTCTTTGTTAATATATTTTTTTTTATTTTGTAGTTTCAGGCTCAATTACTGTGACTTTACACAAGAGTAACATTAAAATCTGTATAATCCTAAGCACATTACGAAACTTCCCAATGAATTTTCATCTCTCCAAAAAGGGAGCAAGACCTTTCCTGCCAGCTGCATGAGGCTTTGGTGCAGCGTCCTGCTCCATTCTCCATGCCTGAAGTGGTTTGGAGGTTTGGAGGGCGTAGGAAGGGTAACAGCTGCACAATGCAGCAGCGCCTGCCTGTGCTGGCAGGGTGTGCATCTGTGTGCTGGCTCAGAAGCCAGTACCTTCAACAGGCCAGGTCTAGCTGCTGCCTGGGATTTGGGTCTGTCCCACAGGCAGGCTGGGCTCGGTGCTTGGCAGCACAGCGCTGCAGCAGGACCGAGGTACCCTGTTGACTGAGTGCAGATTGCAGACAAGCCCCGAGGCTTCCACGGTGTCCAGGGAAAACAGCTGGCTTTGGTTTGGCACCGCCTGCCTACCTGCCTGATGTATTTATGAGATCTCAAGCTGAATAACTTGGTGGCTTTATTTACCAGGGAAGAAAGGCTGCTTCTCTGCTGGCAGAGTGCCATTCTGTAACTAGCTCTGCTCCGCTCCACCGAGAGTCGCGGGCTTTGTCTGGGTGGAAGAGTTGTAAAAGGACAACTGCTGCTCAGGGAGCATCCAGGAAGCAACTGACCTTCACCATATTCCCAGCCTGGTGCAGTTGACAAGTTCTTTTTCAGTCCCTGAAGAGATTGCTTCTGTTTGTTTTGTAGGGGAAATGTTACTGTGGTATTTGCTTGCTCTTGCTTTAAACAGGCATAAAGCACTCTGAAACACTAGATGCATCCTGTAAATACTACAAACTTGCTTTCTGCTGTTTCTGGGTTTTTCCTACGAATCAGAAATTCTCATGGTAGTTCAAAGTACAGAGATGCAAATACTTCATTCTCATGTGACACAGTGTAAAAGCTGCCACAATGCTATTTCAAGAGACTATCATTATTTTTAATCAGGAATTTAGAATCTTAAAGTTCTTGAAAATTCTAAAAAAATTCCTGTCTTTTGCTAGCCTGAAAAGGGAGTACTCTCAACTTTATAAAAGATGTTAGGAGGTAGGCATTACTATTTAGCTGAACATGTGCAAAATTGTGGAGGAATATGGTTTTTACATTTTTTTAGACAAAATTTAGCATATTACCAAGTATTATGATTTAAAAAACACATAAAGACATGTAAGGCCTTCCAACTATGGGTAGAATTTTGCTCTTTCTTCTTCCATTTTACTTCCTTGGAAACGTAATTGAAACACTGTTGAACAGAGTCATTTATGTCAAAAAGGAATGTGTTGTTGTTATTATTATTATTATTAATATTTCATTTCCCCTGATCACAGGTGACCCCTTCAAACATTTACCATGTCTGCTTTGCTATATCAAACTGGTAAGCCCTTGTTAACTCATCAAGGTGAGCTTGAAGCATTGGCTGCATCTCCTCTCGTGGGGAAGGCGTGAGGGTTGCAGTTGACTGTTGCCCAAAGGAGATGGCAGGAGATGAAGCTACTCCCCGGACAGGAGGTGTGGGGACACGATCATCATCTTCTTCAAGCTCATCCTCCATGCCCTGATGCAGGTAGGTCTGAACTGGCAAAGGCGGACACCAACCATCACTGTCATATCTAAAATAAAAACCAGATAAACTTAGGGCATATCAAAACTCATCTCTGCCGCACAGTAGAGGGTGTAGATGGTATGCAGGATTCTTGCTACAGCTGGAAACCTTGCACACAGTGTGTGTTCTAAAATTTCATGAAAATAGGGTAATAATTGCTTAGATTGTCTTACTGAGTCAGTTTAATTTTTCCCATAACAGCTAAGCAACTTAAGCAAGATATGCAACAGAAAAATTACTGCCCCATTATCACATTTGTTAATGGTGATTAGATAATGTTACACCACAATCAACAACAAAAATGAACTAACTCACTTCCAGGATCATTAACGTAGGAGAATGAATATTGACCTGGACATGAAAAGAGCAGCATTCTTAAAAGGCAGAGCAAGCTTTATGTAGTAGCATTCATGCACTTAAAAGCTGAGTTGAAAGGGACCCACAAAGATCACCAAGTCCAACTCCTGGCCCTGCACAGCACCACCCCCAAGAGTCACAGCACGAGCCCAAGAGCATTATCCATTTACTTCCATCCTCCTTTTTATCTGTCTATAAATTTACCATTTGTTTCTGCTTTGGAGTTTAAATAAAAAGCTACACTTTCCTCATAAATTCTGGTCTTCCCACCCTGCAGATGGGTATCTGCTATGATGTGCAATACATCCATGTCACAGCAGCAGTGACCCCAGGCATATGCTGTGTCACAGCACCAGCTGATAAGGTACATTAGCACACATGTTGACAGCTCTGCCAGCACCCCACCTCCTAGCCAATCTGTACTGGGACTTACCTAGACAGTGCTACATTTCTGAACACTTTCAGCACCCCTGCACAAAGAAAAATTAACCACTAGGAGTATTCTTGAATACCAAATTCTTCTCTCTTCAGATGTAAAAGGCATCCTGTTGGAATTTGTGGTTTTTGTTGCCTTTTACAAAGGGTGTAAGGGGTGGTGCTATATCTGATCAGGGCCAGTAACAAAAGCTTTATATTTTATTACCACTTCTTATGCAAGTTTTGGCAGCAAGTTAATTCTTTTCAGTCTCTGTACTCATCAGAGGATCTTTCAATTCAGTGTTGTATTACAGCATCATCCTGGGATGCTGTCCCTTAGAGACTCTGGCATCATTCCAGGTGGATGGGCCTAAGTGACTGTGGTCATTCCCTGTGCATTACCTCCCCAGAGTAATTCCCTAATCTGAACACAACTTCAGTTGTACACAGCTTTGCTGACAATCACACCACTCAAACCTCAAATCTCAACTGTCTACTTTTCCCATCTTCAAAACATCCAGTCAGGCATCAGTCCCTTGAGCATCAGCACACATTTATTCTTAACTCCTGGTGCATTCCAAAATAACTCAGGATATACAGTTGCTCTTTTTTGTTGCTTTTTTTTTTGCTTTTTTTCTTTCCCAACAAGCAACCAGACAACCACAAGCTCTCACAGCTCCCTCACTGTCAAACCATCACACACTCTATAGGCCATTTCCCAAGCATCATCTAAGTCACTTTATCCTCTTTCCACCTTCAAGAACTGCTGACAAGGTCCTTTTTTCCTGCAATGCAGGCAGGCAATGCATTTCACTCTACAGTTAATTTCTCAAACCAGCTTAAAAATACTCCTTTAAAGCTTATGATTTGGAAGGAAGGATTTACCAATTTCCCAGAGAAAAATGAATTACTGTCAATTTTCTCAAGTGTGAAGCCAGGTTATAAAAAGGCTGGGAACACTGAGATGGAGAAGTTGCAAAACCTGTATTATGAACAGATCATTTACTTTTTGCAAAACCCAAAGATTTCTTAAATGAAATCTTTCTTAAACTACTTTTTCCTTATTCAGAAGTCTGTAGTCTATTTGAATGCACAGATTCAGGACAGCTAAAGCAACCTGACCAAAAGTCTATGGAAGATATATCTGGTAATTCACACTTAAATAAATTTAAATCTCTATATACATAAATATAACCATAAATAGATACACAAACACATATGAGCACAGAAGTGAAGATAAAGGCTGCTTTTTAACATCTGGCCTCTAGGAGAGGTTGAGTGATTGATCATTACCATTTTCATAACACAGGGATTTAAGAAAATATTACATGATACACATTTATCCTTAGCAAACAATTAAGATATGATCAGCTGTAAATTGTCATTCCAAACAATATTTACAGAGGACATTTGCAACCAAGGCTGAAGGAACCATCCTAAATCATGGCGCTAAAAATGTGCAGTGCAACAGTTCTCTCACTTTTGCTCTCTCAACCTCATGCTTTGCTATAATGGCTTCTTCTTTAAAAGGGACAGGGAAAAAGACACTCCCTGGTGACTTTTCAGTGATGAATAAACGAGCTTTGGATGTGCTCACCTTCTGACCTTACTCGCTTCAAATCCCCAAATGTTCAGCTCGATGGCAAAAAGGTTTTTTAGTAAAGAGGTTTCTTAGTGAAAAGTTTCTGCACAAGTACCCTATCTTTACCCAAATTTAGTTTGAAATGGAAAGCAGCCTAAGCCTTAAGTTCAGGACATTGAAATTCAAGATTTCAGATACAAGAACCTTTGTCTTCTTAATGTAAAGTGTCTGAAAAGCCGTAAGACCTAACCTTCATTTCAGAGAAAAACAAAATAAAACAAGCTATCCCCCCACCAAAAAAAAAAACAAACAAAAAAAAGAAAGATAAACCTAACAGATTACATAGTAACTACATGTCACATAAGTGATACAGTTGCAGAAACATTTGGTACAACCATAGTGATTATTTGCCACATCCGTGTTCTTTTTCATCTTCTGAGTAAATCCAATGTGGTGAAATTGCAACTTTTTTCAAATACACTATTGAAATCTAAGTGGCTTAACTCCATTAGCAACCTCTGTAATTTCATTATAATTAAGACCCTAATAAGTTATGGTTAACAAACATGAGTCTATATTTTTCTAGTACTATTCTATAGTAATCTTTTACTATTAAAAAGCCCAATTCATTACACTAATAGATTTGTTCCTTCAAAATATAAAATAAAGGTGATAGATATAGGCCACATTCTGTAAAAACTGTGTTTCATTACAAATACTGTTGCAACAAATGAAGCTTCCCTCCCTGGAACTCAGCAGAAAAGACTTTAAAGCAAAAGGTACTAAAGCAAAAGTCCTTAACTTTTCCTAAAAACAGACAGGAAGTACAGACAATTCATTATTGATATTCAGCACCTAATATTCCATTTTGAGGTGTAATGAATAGCAAGAAATAGAAATAACCATATAACAATATGCTGCCTGCCTTTACTGGGCTGGCTCAAGATCATGCATATTATTGGTGAAAAACTAAAGTAAAAGATAATAAGTAAGAAATGAGCATTTCTTTACTGTCAAGTTTACATAATATCAAGCAAAATCATCTCTGAAAAGGGTGGGAAAGGGAGCATGTCATTTTGGGAACTACTATAGGAAAAGAGAAACTTAATGGTACAGAAAACTAAGTGTATTTTTTCTGTGATAGGTTAAATTAGGTGTCTGCTTTGTTTTATATCACTTGCTATTGTAGATTATCTTTTGCAATTTAGGAATCCACTAGAGCATATAAGGCCACTAGTGTTCATCTCTAGTAAGCAAAACTAGGTATCAAATTTTTGGAGTTTTTTGGTGATAATCATGCCAATGAAACTCACATTTGAATTTAATTGTTATAGGGAGACACACAGAAAAACAAGTTTCTGTTTAGATGCCACCCTCCTTGTTTTATTGCTCTAAATATTCATATTTTGTATCACATTGTGAGAAATCCATTAAATTGGTTTTTCTGGAAGTTCATTTTTCAGTTGTAATTCACAATATAATTACATCTGCATGAAACTAATTCTAAAATTAAAACACTTTGAACTTGTCATAGATAAAGTAAATCAAAACAAACCAAGAAGAAAAAAGGAGTTTAAAAAATATGTGGTTTTTTTAACCCAGTATGTCCATGTTAAAGGCAACATAAGGAATGCAGTCTATGATTCTTTCCCTTTTAGCATGTTGAAAACCACAGAAACAAGATCAACTCCTAAATACAAAAGGACCATTGGTACTGAAGCCTCCTGAGGAAGTATGGGCATTGCAGATTCAGTCTTCATCAAAAGTGGTTGCAAATTACTGTAGCTCCAGACCAAGACTCTAAGTCCAGCCTTCAAATTTTTTCTGTGTTTGGTAAAATGCCTGTTACAAGGTCTTGCTACCACCGTTATTGAGACATTATAAAAACCAGAGAAGAATAATTCAAAACAGAGGAAAAACTAAGTCTGAATGGTTGTGAACCTGGAGGCTGGTGATTACCTTCTCCTTAAATAACCAATGCTGTCTCGGTGACCAACATCATTCCTTCCAGCTAAATTACAGATGCTTTATGCAACTGAGAAGTCAAGCCCTGTGTCACAAAGGATTTCTCTATAAGGTATTTCCATTTACTTTTAATGCTATTTCCTTGCTCTGAAGAAAATCCAAGTGGTTTGACTTCTATTGCATAATTGTTTTAGTGAAATGGCTGCACATGTGCTTTAAGGATATAAACCGATAAAGACAAAATTATTATATGGTGAAACAATGTAAAATTTATTTTAGCCTCTTATAACAGAATACAGAAGACAATGATTATATGAAATTTTTGCCTTGAGATTTAAACAGCACTCACAATCAGTAAGGTTATTCATTTTCCATTACTTTGAAATTCTAAGTCTATATACAGCCTGAATGGGCCTTAATTTTAAAAAAGAACTTCACTGACTAACAGCCATTTATTGCTCATTTTAAGAGTTAAAGGAGTTGTTATAAACCAAAACAATATGGAATTTTTCTAACTTTAATTATGAAAGTAGTAATGATCAATTCACACTTACAATTGAGATAACACTTGAAATATTTTTATTCGGTAAAGCTATTACAATGTATTCTTAAAAATGTTTCATCCATAGGAAATATTGATTAATCCATGTATTGAAACAGACAGAAATTTGTCTCTGACAGAACAATTATTCTCAAAGGCTCCAATAGAGCTACCCACAGTAAACTATGTTTTTATATACTCTGATTTACCTCCAGTTTGATAACCTGGTACATCACACAATTACACTTTATAAAAAGCATTTCATAATTGTTGTCTGCATAAGAAATGTCTCTTTCATCTCACTTAGCACTTCTTGTGTGATTTTGTGTCCTTGAAAACAAGTTTGAGCTATGCAAAATTATGTGGAAGGTTTCAGAAACTTGAAAGTTGTTTGAATAATAATAATAAAAAAAAGCCTATAATTAGAATGCCTTCCTCAGCTGTGAAATTTCTTCTAAAAGCCGACGAGAAGATTATTATCCATTGGTTGATCTTCAAAAATTAATCCAATTTGGTGTTTTGTTGTTTGGTTTTTTTTGTTCTGTTTGCTCTAATATTTTTAAACATCACAGCAGTGAAAAAATACAGAGAGCCAGATTATGTCATCCTTACTCACTCTGAGTCCCATCAGCTGCATGCAATCCCAGAATTCAATTAAGCTACCTGTGAAGTGAGGTACTTCTCAGCATGAGAAAGCACTGAAGCCCTACGTGATGATGAAGCAAGGTCACTTTTGTTTCCATCTTCAGTCACTATCCAGGGGAGCTATTCAAACATTCCTCCTTCACAGCCTTGAATAAGTCTACAGGATAAGGAGTTCTCTCTTTTTTTTTTTTTAGATAAAACAGAATAATATTGTCATTTAGCAAAATAAAAAAAAAAAAATAGAAAAGGACTCATTTCTGCAAATCACAGATTTTTCTTCAAAAGAAAAAGAAAAAAAAAAATTTACCCTGCTTCTTGCTGGTCCACCCCATAGTGCTCCAGCTCCGTGCCTGGAAGTGGCTGCACAGGAGGGGGTGGGAGGGGAACACTGGCCCAGGCTGAACCATTATTTTTCTGGGGCTTGGCAGTATTTTTGTTTTTCTTCTTTTTCCCTCCTTTGCCACCTGCAAATCCAAAAAAGAAAAAGAAAATGTTAGAGCTATAAAATGGGAAAAAAAGCCAGCTATTTACATTTCTTTGACAGAATTCTGATTCCAGAGCACATGCCCCAAAAAAGAAGACGTATTTATATCTCAGCAGAATCAGCATCAAATTGCTAATGCTGTCACAAGGTTGTAAGTAATAATAGAATGGAATGGGAAAATATTCCAAATATTTACTGAAAATCACTTCATTTTAAACCTCTGTACACTTGCACCACAGAAGTGCAGAAACAAAGAAAGACAGGTTTTCCTGTATAAGAGATATATTTCCTGATTTATTCATGTGCACTTTATATCCTCTTGAATTCACTCTTAGATAAAATTATAATACAACATAGCAAATTATTTCAAATGTCAGAATCCAGTGTGATTATAGCAGTTTTGCATAATCACTTTCTGTGGAAAACTACAGAGGTTAAGGACACCATCCCAAAAAGTTGTCATTGGAGTCAAGAACTTTCAAGACAAGAGAAAATTGTCAAAACAAAAGAAACAGGAGTTTGTTGATAGGAATTTCCTAATTTCTGTTTTTTTAAAAGAGTGGGATGCAACGTGCAACGTTTAAGGACTGACTGTTTCACAGGATTCAAATATCTTGAGCCACTATAGAGAAGAGGTTCTATTTCTGACATACAGCTCTAATGGATGAAGTAGAAATGAACTGAGAAATGCACTTTGGTTAAACCCTCTGCTCTTCTCTTATTGTCCTTGCATCTACTTCTCCAGATGAGACACTTCCATCAGTGGTAAAGTGATCTTACAGAGAAAGCTCTCATCTCACTTGCTTTGCTTCTTTTATTTTGCCCTGACTTATTTTTCTTGTCAGAATTTCATTAAGAGGAAGAATGGAACATTTTGAATCCCTTGACTGCTTGGGGACCCATCTATTTTTTGAGGTTTCGTTGTGGCTTTCAAACTCTTTGTTGGGGGGAGGAATGGTTTGTTTGTCAGATGCCTTTTCAGTGGGGTACCCAGCTGCTCTCACCCATCCCTGGCCTGCTGCAGAAAGCGCAGTCTAATCCATCTCACCCACTGACATCTCTTGATGATTTATAAGGATCAGCCAAAAAACCCTCATGTAAAGATGAATCAATGAATCTAGAAAGCCACAACTGACTGGACAGGGAGGGTGGCATCATGTGCACTGGCAGGCACCACCCTCTTTGTCATGGCTCTAACTTTAGGCACAGAGAAGCACAGAAGGAGATGCAATTCTAGCAATAGAGACAAGCCCCTATCATGGGACTTTTGGTCTGTGAGATGGTGGCTTTCTTCTGTTACCTCCAAACGTCAGCTGGATGAAAAGAGGAACAAATAGAGAGGGAAGAGAAAGCTGATTCTGTGACTCAGAGGTAGCCAAGACTTCTCTTTTTACCTCCTGATGTGCCTGCTAGAGACAGGCAACAAGCCCAGCAATGTTTCTAATCGACCTGGCTGGCAGCACATTGCAAGTGAGACTTTGCTTTCCACTACTCAGTTCCAGACCAGAGCTCTTCCTTCCTGGTTTTGGAGTATTTACAGTAAGTCCAGCCAAGATCCTGTCATTCACTATGTGTGAACTGAGCTGGTATTACTTCTATTAGGACGGAAAACAGGCTCTTCCTTCCATTTGTAGCCTGGCAGAGAGGGCAACTTTCTTGAAAAGTGAAAGAACATTTTGACCAGTGAAAAGAAACTCCAGTGACAGTGGAGATAGGGGAGAAAATCCATGAACCTTCTGGAGGAAAAATAAAGCTCTCAAAGCACAGGTAATGCAAAAAAAGTGGAGTTAGAAATAGGGTCACTGAACAGTGCAAAGGAAATAGGTTAATTTTAATTTGTGGGACATAAGGAAATTTTTTAAGTCAGCAGTAGGAGCCAACAAGAGCTAAGGCAGGAGGGGCTGCTTTAGGAGAAAAGCACATGCATGTGTTTTCATGTTGCATTAGGATTTAAACAAGGGATACGCGGAGAAGGGAAATGCAAAGAACTTCAGCTTAGAGATTAGTTGGAGAGGAAGAGTTTGGAAGTGTAGCATCTTGGTAATCTTAGGAGACTGGTAAAATGTAGGTTGGATGTGTGGAGTGCTAGTATGGGAGTCACTTGAATTTTAGGTGTTTCAAGAAGAGAAATTAGAGATAATGGAGATATTAGAAGGAGTGAAGCAGAGAGAAAAGGGACTTGTTGAGGAAGTGAAAGAAGAGAACTCCAAGGTCATTGCTGGTAGGGAGAGCAGCCTACACTGCACAGCTGGGCTGGAGATTTCTCTTCTGTCCCCTTGGGCAGGTACTCCACTGTCAGACTGGTGGGACAGACACTGAACACATAAAGCCTGATTTGTGTTTGGAAACTGATGCACCAAAGCCTTGTTTCCCCCTGGCAACCATGCTGATGCTTCAATGTCTCCTCACACTGAAATTCAATTATATTGTTTAAATCTCTAGGTGAATAGGGTGCTGAAGAATTTGCCAATTAGGCTGCTGATCCTAGTACAGACACAATCTGTGCAACTATAGCTACAAAATTTCCCTGCCTCATAAAGCAGTTGAGGTTTTAGCTATTTTCTATTCCACAGTGGAATAGGAATTCTCATGATATTCATGTAAGAGAGACAGAAACTTAGTCAGAATAATAAGTAGTACTTAAAGTACTAACCAAGGAAGTGAGAGAACAAATCCCTGCTCACCCTGATGGGGACTCCATAATCAAACCTGGTCTCTGACTCCAGTGATGCTCTAATTATCAGACTATTTGAAGGTCTCCCCCAGTTTCTCATGTATTACAGACATAATTATCCTGCATCAAAGGCATAATTAGTGGGCAAGGGAGAGCAAAATACTAACTCTCCAGTCCAATAATCTGACACTCATCTGAGCACAGGGGCATCCAGTCGTGAGCTGCCTTGGTCACAAGAGTGCCCTGGCCATAGATAGACCCAAAGTTTCCTAGTGTCATCAGAAGATTCTGACTGAGAAACACTACACAGCATATGCTGCATTTGAAACATTTGATTGAAGTCCAGCCTTCGATCAATGGGCATTTTCTAGTGACACTTTCTATTTTCTGAGAAAATTCTTAGGCAGCCTTAGCTGTCAACATATCTAAAGTGTGATACAGCCCTCTGATACCTAACATATATGTACCTCAGCACATCAATTTTTGCATTTTCTTGCAGCCTGGGGAGCAAGCTGATTTCCTAAGCTACTTGTCAATATATCTCACATGCAAGGAGCAAGAGGCTTTCTTGAAGTATTTCATGAATTCAACTTCCAGATACCTCTCTGACAATGCCATAAGCCTATGGGCTCAGTCAAATCAGCTAATGCTCCCCCTTGAGAACACAAGACTTGCAAACACATTTGACTATTTGAATCATGGGCCAATGATTATAGGCTTCTTATCTCAGGATTCAGTTTGAATAGTCATTTAAATTGACATAAAGAAGCCATTTCTAGGTTTGGTCTGTTACTAGTAGGCCAGTACCATCTTAAAGTGGAAATTCAAAAGGCTGTGGCTATATTCTGAATATAAAAAGTAAGTCCTTTCACTGATCTCATACTTCAGCTAGGTGAAATTGCAGATTTTCATCTTAATTCCTGCCTTTTCAGTTTTTGTCTTGACAAGAAAAAAAAATAGACAGCTATACATGACATAAGCAACAAGTAAGCAAAATTAAAGAAATCAAGAAAAAAGGTGTGTTCAGATATAATACACAACCACATGTACTATGATCATTTTCATCTGATGAAAATGCATCATGTTTCCAATAGAACATGCAGCACACACATAAAATTTACATCCTGTTTTTATGCAGGCTTGGCACAATTTGTTGAAACCCCAGTCACCTTTCAGGGCCCTACAACTGTTTGCAAGCTGCTTCACTGAGGAACAGCATTTAGAAACAGCTCGTGGGAGTGGGGGACCTGCTAACAACTAACAAAATAATAATCTCCTCATGAAGTTCAGTGTGGGGAGACCTATAAACTGAGGATGGATGCAGAAATAAATTTGCTCCATAGATGGTGTCAGGGAAAGGACGTGACAAGGCGAGGCTGGCAGCTGAGCCGACAAGCACCACTTGGAAGGACTCTAGTTATCTCCAAGCAGGTGCTGCCAAAGGCTTTTTTGTTTCAGTAGAGTCCCATGTGGCATTGTTTGCTGATAGGCAGGAGCTCTCATGGTTATCCTCAACTGGTGCCTGGGAGCTCTTCTGCCTCCCTGGCGTGTCGCTCGCTAACACCCCTCCGTCCCTCGCTCCCCTACGCACGGCGATGGAACCAACCTGAGAGGCTGCCACTCCTTTCGGAGCTGTTGTGGGAGCTGGTGGTGCTGAAATCCTGTGACTGGTTGTGTGGCAATCTATTAGCCAGTCCCTCAGCCACCCGGTAGTCAGGGATGTAAAGCAAGGCTAAGGGTTAAACGGCAGAGGTCACAGTGGCATCGTGGGATTAGTCGACAGCACAAGCACATGCGACACATGCAGTTAGCAAATCAGGGGCAGATGGGGTGGCAGGTTTTAACTTGGCAATTTTTAAAGGTACACCTTTAAAAAGGTGTACACCTACCCTAGCCTAATGGAAGGCAGGTGGCTTGGTGATTAGCACAGGACAAAGAGGATTAAAAGCACAGTGTATTTTGTGATCAGGTGAGGCTCAGCATGCATGCATAGTGTGCAAGCATTAGTTCAGGTCAACACGAACAGTGTCTCACAGAGCTAAAACGAATTTTCTAATTCATGCACAGATGATACAGTACACAAAGCCAAGGGCTCTGGAAAATAAGAGCTGTAATTACCATTGTTGCCTTTGCCTTGGTCTGGGAGAGAGTAACCAAAACCCATGAGGTCATTTTTTTGCTGAATTGAGCTTTTCCACTGCGGATCTGGTAAATCGACAGCCAGCTCGTGGATGCTGTTGGAATGCAGGATCTGTGTGGTGGCATATGGTGTAGCCTGCGTTATTTGGCTGGAGCTGTTGTAGCTGGTTTTGGTGGTGAAGTCGATGCTGCTGTAAATGGCCCCATCAGAAAGCATGGTAGCAGTTTTATCTCCTTGCCCTGGCACTGGTGGCAGCACATCTGTGGAATGAAACAAATCATTGATGCACAGGAAGCCTGAAAGTACCAAGGTTTAAGCTGAGAAAAAAGCGTGCCATTTTGCACGTTTGCATTTCGGCGGAGACAGGTCCATGAGCCAACGAAGGGAAGATGATGTACAACCATCGCCAAGCTATCAGCAGCTGTGACAGGCCTACCGCTTGTCCTTCACGTCTCACTGCCTAAAACCATCTTTTTTTTTTTTTTTCCCTCGTACCTTCAACTGTGAAAGTGAAGTTTGGAATATTTCTTGACTGAAGAATGTTTTCAATTGTTCACTCTATGTCAGAACCAATGAAACTGTCTGGGCTTCACGGAAATGATGAAAGGAGAGAATTTATAAATCACAGAGGGAACCTGACCAACAAGTATGTAGAAAAACTCTCAAAATAATTTTTTAAGGTCATCACCTGGATTTTCTTAAAGCTTTTTGCATCAGCTTATCTAATTTTCCTTTTGACATTACCCAGTACATTTCTTCTTTTCAACAAAAGAAAAACCTGAAAAAAAAGAAAGTTGTTCCTGATACGTGAAAGAAAATCCAATATTCTGAAGGGATTTAGGTGACCAGTCCCTCAAAATGGTGAAGCGATGTTGATAATGCAGAACAACTTGTTCAAAAACTCTAGTACATTTACCTGAAAATCATTGCAGCATATTTAACTAAATATCTGCTGAATTTTCTCCATATTTTGACTCTTATCCCACACTGCAATTTGTATCTTTAATCAGTTAGATTGGCAGTCTCACTCCTTACTAAACACTGAAGTGACCTTTGGTGGTGGAATACTAGATCTAGAAACTGAGACGAGTGAAGTGTGAAGAATCTAATGATGACTGACATGATGTCTCAAGGAGAACCGCAGCTCAGCAGATAACTCTCCTTCCTGCTCTCTCAGAGGTCAATGTATCAAATGGTACTATTTTTACAATTTATTTAGACTCTGAAAAGTTGAATCAATTCCAGAATGCACTTCTTCAGAAAAATCCTTAATTTATATGCCATTTTCTTTCTACAGCCAGATGGCAGATACAGGTTCCAACTGTTAGATAATACTTGAGATAATGCATGCTCCTATAGTGAGGACATTCAGATGCCACTCTAGGGATCACAGCCATTTTTATGTACCTTAAACCCCAGAAAGAAAAGATGATTCTTGCACCTAGTCAAGGGTTTAAGCTCAGATCCAAACTCAGATGTGGGTTTTTGTACAACCTCAGGGAATACATTTTTTTCTCTCACTGTCTCAAAGACTTATCCAGCAATGAGATGTAACACCATGGTCTCCTCACACTGCTTTAGTATTTTTTGTTTGCTTATGTTGGTTTTTATGTGGTTTAGTTTTGTGGGTTTTTTGTTTTGTTTTTTTTCCCTGGGATGAACATTTAGATCACAGAACTATTTTCTTTTGCAGTCAGGTGTGCCACAGTGAGCATTTCAACATGGGCCCTAATAACATCTTCAGTCTCAGGGCAGCAACATAATATTAACAATAAATATAGCAATAGCAAATGCGCAGCAGAGACACTGCACAAAGAGAGATTAAATTTGGGTTTATCAGCATGATCTGGTTTTGCATACAGCAGGGAAATGGGCACAATCAAGTATTTAAAAGATCTTAATTGTATTAACTCAAATCTGCAGATAAATTGCAAGTGCAAAAAAATTACAATTAATGCAAACTACAGCCCATATTTCAAAATCATGTTGTTACTATCTGCACATATGCAATGTACTTTCCAGGGGCAGTACACAAACAAAAATGCATCTATGTGCAAATACAGCATGAGATGTGAGAGACAAGTGCAGCCCTATCTTTCTTGCATTTCATCCACAATACGAACATTTCTCCTTTCCACAATCCGTTCCGTCGAAGTATAATGGCTTGGAGTTTAGTAAATAAATTCTGTTGTTGATGTATAAAGTGAAGCAAATCCAGCTCAACCTGTCTGTGTTGGATGTGAAGACTCAAGGAAGTAAAAACTAGCAAAATGCTCATCTCTGAAGCACTCAGACATACATCTGTCTTTTAGAACATATTTCTGGCAGCCAAAGAGGTATCATCTCTATACAGTCAGATTAAAATGGAGAACTATTCATGTGCACACACTTGAAAGGGAAGTTGCATAGCTGCCCACCAGCCAAGCAAAGCACTTTCAGTCATTCTTACTGATAAGCTGAGGTTCTCCAGACATACTGGGAATTTTCAGTACAAGCACAGATTACTTTTTTGACCTCAGTGAGATGCATATATTTAAGCACTCAAAGAGCTATTAAGTGGAGATTTTACAAAGTGCCATAGTCATGCAGTAGAAGTCAAGTGTGATTTTCCCAGCAAGTTGTCATAGCAAAACCACCACACTGTACATTTCAGACCAAAGATGAAGATGCATTTCCTACTGGAAACTTTCCCCAAAACTCTCCAAAATCCAACTTTTGTTTGTAACTCTTGAGATAAATGAAATAGTGCTGAAATACTTCAGCAGGGAAGCTCTTTCTTGCTGCCTTGGAGAGGCAATACTATTTTGTGGCCTTACATGACTCCAAGCTTGACCTGTGCTTCCCACTCACAGCCTTGCTCTCAAATGCCTATCTAGGACAGTGGATCTCACTCTTCATGGAAATTTTACGACTGCCTGCCTCAGCTTCTGAGTTTCCAGGGTGGCTGATGCCAACCCATTCTTTTTAAAATTCTTATAGAACTTTTATATTATCACAGACCTTTTAACCAGTGAAAGAGGCCCAAGTTCTATGTTTATAGTTAATATTCCATCTCTACATGTTAAAATACTTCTAATCCATCTTTAATGCAGAAACATCTGATCTCAGCTTCTGAAAAAGATTGGGATAAGTGATCCAAAACCACCCAGCATAAAAGTTTTAGCTCAACTGTAAAGATCATGGGTGGAATTAAGCTGCCGAATTTCAAAATGTAACTTTTCTCTCTCTTTTGCATGAATTTGGACCTATGCCTCATGCATATTGACGCCAAAAATTTTTGAAAAATGCTTCCAATTCTAGTCATGTAGAGCCAAATGCTAAAAGGAAATGGTAATTTTTCTGTATTATGTGAGCTTAAGAAAAGATGGAAATGTACTGAAGGGTTTTATTTTCAATATATTCATAACAAAGAAGCTGGCAGAAATTCAGTTGCCTTGTAAATATTATCAAAAGTTTTGCTTACTTTTAAATATTTTTGACAAGAACTTTATAACATTTTTATACAGGATATAAATCTAATGTGTTTTGTTGTAATTTTAAGTCACAGTAGTCAAACCACAGGCAAGAGGCTTTTCATGGGAATGTATAACCAGTATGAGGGATGGTCTTCAGAAGCAGATTCTGGTACAGTCCAAAACTGAATTATTTTTGTATTTATCAGTTTGATGGATCTACAGATTTTTCTTGCATTTTAATGCATTTTTGATGTATAGGTTGTCTTAATTTTTGTTTATCTGTTTATGTCTTAAAAACATTTATATACTCATTTACGTTAGGAAGTCTTCTCCTGACCAACATACAGAATTACCTTTGTTACCACAGAAACCAAGGAAGTAACAGGGTTATGTAACTATTACTATGACTTTTAAAAATCTCAATCCTACATCTTAAAATTCCCATTTGAGTTAAATGTTTGAAAGGAAATAACCCCACTAAAGATTCGTCATTGTAACAACACATCTTTACCTCATTCCCCCAAAGGTGCTCTCTCAAATCAAAATGTAAACAAACCCCTGAAAGATCTAAATAATTCCCTTTTATGTATTGTTTCCTCCAATGAAAAAGAAAATTGCTTAAGACCTTTGAGGTTTTCTTCACAGATTATGGCTGGGATTGAGAGCAGGCCCTCAGCAGGAAGAGGAAGGGTAAAATGACAGCAACAAAGTTCCCGTGGTCTTCTGCTGAAGGAACATCTTTCCTGCATCTGCAGAGCTCTCCTCTGCTCTTATGGACATCCTCCATCCCTGGCTATAGTGCCCTGCATGGCACATTGCTCATCTCCACACAAAAGGGAATGAGGTTGAGACACAAATACATTTCTCTTGACATCATAAGCAGACCCTGTCTCACCACTGCAGGGCAAATTACAAACTAGACCTACATTTTAAAGAAGAAGAGATAAAGCAAAAGGAACATTTTGAAGTCAATTTTCAAACAAATCTAGAAAGAAAGAAACACATAGAAGGAACTATAATTATAAAAATATAATACAGTATTCATCATAGATGTTAACTAATGGAAGCCTAGTTTATAATAATGGGTGACTTAATAAAAGGAAACCTACCTCCACGACCAAAATTCCCAAGATCATTGGGTCCACTGGTGCTGTTATTCACTGGCAGACTTGTGGCAGGCCAAGAGTCTGCAAGCCAAGGATAACTGGGGTCACTGGCATTCAACAGACCTGGTCGACTGAAGCAGAATAAGAAAAAGAGATATACACAATATATATATATATATATAAAATTACAGTATCTGTGAGATAAGTAGTGAGGGAAGAGGACATATTACTGTCCGTCTAACACCATAGGTAACTAACAGTTTAGGAGCCTTTATTTCAAATTGCAATTGTAGAGCCTTTGATGATTTAAAGACCTTGAGCAGTTAATTAAGGTTATATACAAATCAACTTTGTCAGTAGAAGTGGGACTAGGCATCCGTGGTGACTCTGCCAGAATCCAAATGAACTCCGTTGTCTGTGTGAAACAGGAGTTAGGCAGCACCATCACGGGATCCTACGCCAGGGCTGAATGATAAATTACCACCTCAAGGGAGCCATCACTCAAACTGATTGCTCCGTATCAGCCATTTCCAGGACTTTGGGCTACTATTTCTTCCTTCCCTTGCATCCCAAATGCATGCCTGTCATCTACAGGCTGGTAACTCTTTCTTTGAGCATTCTTGGATGGTTTAGAGGCAGACAGGTTTGAGGAGGATTAATGGAAAGTCTACAGCTATCACTGTGTGCCACTACAGCATGGCTTTTATATCCCTGTAATTCCCAGCTTTGAGAGCAGTCTTAAACAGGGAGCATGGTGAAAGAGAAGGCACACCCGGACCATAAGGCACCATGTCTCTCTCACCCCAGGATAAACAGAAATTTAGTAAGGCAGGTGGATTGTTTGTATTTGTGTTCAGCAGGGGAAACAAATCATTTGCTACAGACACCCTTTTTTCCCCAGTGAAAACAAAAAGCCATCCGCAGTTCTGCAGTTTTCCTGGGTTATTAAAGCACTCGTGAAGTTGGAGCAACATCTCCGATCATTGAACATTATAGACCCCTGCCTGGAACAATCCCTAAGAGAAACATCGGTTTCTATGGAAACGGCAATAAGACGACCCAGCCGCATTCTTGCCACATCTACTCGCTCTCATTAGGCCTAATCTCTTTTTGCTAAAATATTGATTAAACAGGAGATTGGAAGTTATTACCAGGGCCTAATTACAATCTCCATATTGGCAAAGGGAAAATAGATGAGGATATATGGGCCCGTTATCAGCTTTTATCAATTTCAATTGAGTAGCCAAAGTTGTGGAATCCAGTCCTATCAATCTACAGCCTATTCATCATCCATGAATCATTTATTTTGTGATCGATTAAGTGTAATTGTTCACTCACAGCAATTTAGGGAGAGCCAATAAGGAGTCTTAAACAACAGCAACTTCATTTGCTAATGTCTAATTAATGCAATAAACATCCCAGTAACAAATGAACACATTCTTTGTGATATTTACTACTCATTTCTTCCAGGACATCTGGGAGATATGAAACATCTGGGCTTGCTTCTTCCAAAGTGCACAACAGATAGGTCATTAAACCTTGTGGTAAGCTACTTAACTCCTCCTAGCGCTATCAGTCTTCCCAATGATGGGATATAACCCGAGTGCATCACCTATAGAATTTTTTTCAGATCCCTTATTTTAAAAATAAAAACAGTGGAAAGACCTTTATACAAAGAAACATACCTTCCATTGCTCATTAGTCCTCCATCTCCTCTTTGGAAGGTGACTGTGTTTTGGTTGGAAAGAACAAAACAAACAAACGTACACACACACGCACACACATATAAGACAGGAAAAAATCAATTAGTAATGATTAAAAGTAACAATTCAAACTGCTCGGTGTCCGAGGTCGGAGGTCTCTTGGTATCACCCCATAATAAAGTAGAGAAATGACAAGAAGAGGCTCAAGCACATTGGGGCTACAGTTCATTTAGGATTTCACTGCACATTACTGATTGACACCACATTACTGATTGCTCTGCACCTTGCAAGGCAAAGCAGCCACCTGGGCAAAAGGCCTGAATTCACCACAGGCCCCTTCATATGACTTTGCATTGCAAGTCTGAGCCATGTGATGAAATTGTTTTCTTGGCATGCTTCCGCTTCAGTACATAATGACATTGCACCAGTGAGTAAGTAACATCATGTCGTAATGCAGTAAAATATAATGTCACCACACAGATATGTCATTTCCCAGGACAAACACAAAGAGGTGGCAGCTCTATTACAGCTGAAGGGATGGAAAAAACCATCCAGCTGCACCTCTTCCATTAGATGTACAGTTTAAGAACTAGGACCATTATGCACACATAAATGCATACATGCCAGTGTCACCCAGAAAAAAAGTGTTTCCAGTCTTCCATCCATGGGGGATGGATGGATGCATCCATGGACATAATCAGAGGGAGACAATTGTTTTTATGTCTCCATTCATGGGTGTTTGACAAAAATCATCTTCTCCCTTATCTATCTCATTAACAGGATTACATTTCAGGGCAATATAGGTAAAACCACATTACTGGTGAGATGCTAATTGACAACATTTGATGATCTTTTCAGAAACACTGAAAAAATATTTTGAATCAAGGCCAACAGACCACTCTGGTTCTCAGTGGCAATATCCCATTATTTATTGTCAGGCATAGATAAGGCAGACTATTAAATTATACCAATGTCCTGGATACCTGCACCCTTACAGGCCTCTGACTGGATGAGGGCTTGAATTTCAGTGGGGAATGGAAGAGTTTGTAACCAGCTTAATTTAAAACAGACCATCATTTGGAAATACTATTTACCTTTGTAAGACAGGTGCTCCCATCATTAAATTATAGCTCCCAGAGTATTTGCAAGATTTTCCAAGTATTAGTCCAAACTACACTAACTCAGGATTAGGTGTTCTAATATACACTATTCTAATCAGACAAAATTACTACAGCCAATAGAAATTCTGTATTCATTAAAAAAAATCAGCAATGACATAAAGCCACTGGGACAACTCTTCCGATACCTTATAGAATCCTTGTTACTTTATTAACTCCTATTAATTTCACAGTGTAGATTCAGCAAAGGGGACAAAACTGGCCCCTCTGGAAGCTCTGCTGGAAGAATAGTAGGGTGATTAATTACCCTTCACTGCACAGCAGACTAATACCAATATCAGAAAATCACTGCAGTCATATGTCACATCAAAATGGTTAATAGCTGAATTTTGAAAGGGTGTAATCAAACCAATTAATGAAAAGAAAATCAAAATGCAAGTATGGAAAGTACTAAATAAAGGTCTCCTTTGAAAAACAAGACATGGTAAAACATTGTGGATAATTAATTTTAGAGGAAATGCTGCTTTCATTCACGTGGTATCTAACAGGCTGTCAAATGACTACCACTCACTGCTTAAAAGTGAATTATCTGAAGTGCTGTGCATATCATACGTGATCGCACAACGATGTGGGTACTGCCTGGCTTTGTTTCCAAGTATCTTGGTACATTAGATGCTGTTTCCTTTCTCCTCCTCTCCTCCAAATTTAATACTTGATTTCTCCAACTTTCTGCATTTGTCAAAGTGACAAGAAATAAAGAAAACGAGAAACAAAGGCTTGTTTGATAAGAACCTTTATAAATAAGGTTTACAGATGTAAGGAAATTGCAGTAAAACATTTTCTGAAAACTGCTTGGAGTAATGCTCTTGTTTAGACTGTCATCTAGTTGAAATTATTTTGAGGTAATTTTGTTGCCATTTGTATACCATGTACAGGTGTGCGAGCTTTTAAATGTGCATTTACACAAAGGAAAAAAAAACCAACAAAAACCAACAATAGTTGTGGTCTACAAAATATTTATATCCCTTTATAAAACAAAGCTAAAATCAAGTAACTAGCAGGAGATTTCAGCAATGTTTGCCTGACACATTTTATTTTCTGTGTAGGCAGGTATGGAAAAAGTCCCAGGCATGCCATGAGAACTCCATCAAGAAGAAACCTCTTTGCTAGGGCCATAATTGCTGCAGGTTGGCTGAGGCATTGGAGATAGTAAAAAAAAAACAAAAACAAGGATCACAGAATTTGCTCCTTTTTCTTCAGTGTTTCTTCGTGGTAGGAACTGTTTCCTGTTTTGGTTTATTCTATTTCCTGTGTTAAATTATCTTACACCGTCCCAATATACACATCACCTTAAGAAGAAAGGTTCAGCTTACAGTGACATTGTTTTTCCTAGGGAAGACTGAGTCTGGTTTATGTGATTTTCATGGAGCTAGGAAGGAAAACAGGTTTTATTTGTTTACCCTTCACCCTGTACACCAAAGTATGCATGGTTATAGTCTCAATGAGAAAATAAACCAGAAAGCATTTTATTTATTTAATGTGTTTCGTGTAAAAGGCTTTGGAATATCAACTGAGCTCGCCAAAATTCCTCTTGAAGTGTGGCCATGTCACTGGGATGCTGCAAAAACTCCCCATATTCCTGATGCCATCCACAAATTGGCTACCTGAGGCTGCAGAGAGAAGGTGCCTTTCTTTCAGCTTTAATGTTGTGAAAGGCAAGACAGTTAACAACAGAAGATATGGTCAGGCTGCCAAAAAAAGCACTATGTTTATCATTCCTGCCATACATTTTGTCAGCGTTTTTTCCTGCAGTTTGATTTCTGCAATTACAAAACAAGTCTAAATGCCTGAATAGGAGCATACTTAATGCAATCCAAGCTTGTAGATGTCACTGTAAAAATAAAACACACAGACAGCTGGCTTTATTCATCCTGTCTCCATTTCAAAAAGCAGCAGAGCAATTTCAAGGGGCAATATAAGAGGAGGAAGGGAAGGTTGTCCCTACCACTGACCCACCCATCTTCCTTGCTTTTTATCACCAAGGAAGCAAAAAAGCTCTTTCAGCAGTCTTTGCATCTGATACATGTTCTTAGAAAGGCTGAAGACCTGCAGGGATGAGATTGGTTTTCAAAAGAAGATGAAAAAATAACCTCTGCATAGAGAGATTTTGAAGGAATCCCCACCAGCTTATCCTTCAAGGACTGCAAAAATGCAGAAATATAATCCAAAGTGCATTTTAAATGCATAAATATTTCAGGAAATTATATTGTGTATATTTGTATGAAAACCAGCATATTTTAAGGAGCTTTTCACCTGCTTTTTATTAAATATATAAGGAGGTACCAAAACCATTTACTAATATTATCTGACAAGGTTAAACTTAATCTTCATGCCTGCTAGAACTGGAAAAATATGAATGTATAGTAAGTCGAGATTCTGAGGCAAGGAAGCTTTAGAAAGCTTTAGAAAGCTTTCTGTATGCCTATCTCTAGTAGGCCACATTTTCCTACTGCAAATGAAAACTTTAATGTTGCCAGCCAAGTCTCATTCCTTTTACTGATAAGCTGTTCCTCAAATATGAATGTAGATTAATCCTCTTTTAATAAGCATTAACTCAGAACAGATAATCAGCACATAAAAATTCCATCAAATCTTCTGTCTACCTTTGGATGATTCTGTCATATAGTTTATCCTCATTTAACAGTTTCAGAAGTTGAACATAAAATGTGTAACATTCCATTATTCTCTATCTATTTTTAATTTGTTTTCTGTTTACTGGGTTTCATAAAATCTTTATAATCCCAAGGAGCACTAGTCACTAAACAAGCTTAACCTACTCATAAGTTAAAATACATATTTACTTTTTTTGCATGACTGATGGTGTAGACACTTGAAAACACCTGAATATTCTGGCAAGTGGGTACTGGCACAACAAGTTTGAGGCCACAGGAAAGATAAACAGATGAATGAAATTTTTCTTTTCTTTCCCTACAAATGGTTTCCATGCCTTTTCACAGAAATCTGAAAAAATAATTTCAACTTTCAGTATAAATTAAATTGATTCTGTTCTGTTACTGCAATTCAATATTGAAATAATCCATCTGCTATACAGTAAGTGGTCAGATATCTCTTTTGTGCCCTGTATCTTTGTATGAAGCCTATGGTGCATGTTTATATCCAGGCAATCTCAGTAAAGGATAAGCCCAAAAGTACAAAAAAAACCCCACCACCAAGCCAAAAAAAAAACAAAAAAAACAAGCCAAGCCAAACCAAACCAAAAATCAAAAATACAAAAAAAACCCAAACCAACCAACCAACCAAAACAATCAAAAAGTCCCCCATCCAAACAGTGCAGCAGTACTTTAGCTTCCACACAAACTCACATAAGTGAGATCAATCCATCCTGTATATTACAGGAGAGATGGTTAGAAAGAGACAACAGCTGTGTTTAGTGTCCCTGTGCCAGATTTGGTTTTGCTGAGAGTATGTCATGGTCACAAAAATGTATAGTCTTTGTACAGCTGCAGATGATGACAACTACTACTTACCAACAGTAATCTAACAAACATATTAGCTAAATTTTATGTTTTGTAATTATATATAATTATATCTTATTATATATCTTATTAATATATCTAATATTACTGAGAATCAAGGCCTGGTGAGTCATGGTGGAAAGGGAAGTGGAAGAACAATGATGTTCAGAATTGTGGCTCAGCAACTGCTGGAGTCAGTTCAACTGATAATAACTGAAAAGATTTAGCTGTGATTATCAGTGTCACTTTATTTGTGACCATCTGAGCCATTGATCAGTGCTTATGAAAATGTTCACAAAGACAGAAAGCTAAAAGTATTTAACTCAATCAGTTACTCTTCCCTGACACAAATCATTACAAACTGCCTGACATTTGCTGTTTTCTCCCCCACGTTACAGTGGTTTAGTCACAAAGCAGAAACTGTACATCTTGGGAATACAAATGGAATACAAATAACAAGTGGTCCTAGTGAATGACCCATAATCTGCAAATGACCCAAAAGAACATTTTTAGCAAGTAATTATAAAACAGCATGGATTTGGACTTTTAAACAAGTATTTTTAGTTTTCTCTGTTCTACACACAGGTAAATACAGATGAAGAAAAAGAAAACAAAAAATATTCACATCAGCAATAACGGGATTTTCTCCAAGTGTGAAATAAAGTAAGCATGTGATTGTTACACTAATAGATTCAATTCTCTACCACACAGTTAAATCTGTATGTTCTGAAACTCTCTGAAGGAAGAATTTAAAGCAGATGTCAGAACAAAACGTGTGTACCTTCTAAAATCTGAGTATATTAGGATAAATTCATCTTTAGTAAAAACTCACTGACAGCTGTCTCTGAGGAGATTCTGAAAGCTGCATAGCACTGTCTAAATAATTGTATCTAAACCCAAACTGTTTATGAATCATAACTTTGAAGGGAACAACATACAGTTATGAGTGTCAAACCTCCACAAGTATAGGTATGTCTTTCTAAATGATATTATCAGGGGCAAATCAAAATATTAGAGAATTAACAAAGTTTGTTATGGAACTCTGGGTCTAAAGATAAGAAACATACACTATATTCTGTCATAAAGAAAATACTTTTTTTAATTAAAAAACACTTTTTGGACTTGACTACTGGAGGACTTTGGTTCTCAATTCCTCCAAAAGTTATTATAAGCCAGGAAATAGAATAGCTCTAAAAAGTCCACAAGATGTTGAAACTGCTTGTAAAAAGGAAAATTTTTGGCAGTACCTCTGAGATATCCCAGTTGCCCAGCACATGTGGACCAACAGCATGAAATCATGCTCAGACCCAGTGGCTCCAGCACAACTCTGTGTCATGCCAACGCGTGCTACAAACACTGCGGTGAAAATGCACCACAGTTCAAGACAGCTGACAGTGGCATGGTCATAGGAACCAAATGCAAAGATGCATTATTTAATTTTGGAAAAAAAACCCTATGTTGTGTCTCAAAGAAAAGGCAGTAAAGTGTTTAGGGTGTGATGCATTGTGCCATAGCTTACAGTAACCTGGCCAAACCTGCCTGGAAGCTAGGGGAGCAATCCTGAGCCCCCAGATTTTCCACAAGGACATTTCTCCCTCAGAATGTCATGGGCTCCTGGGGCACACACCCCCACCTTTGGTCATCTCCTCTTTCCTGCTAATTTGAACACAAGCCGTGGCTGAAGACAAGGAAAAGTGAGAAAGCAGCTACTGAGCATGAGGAGACAGCTCTGGTAAAGGCAACCGAAAAACTTGACAGACTTCTGGAAAATGATGAGATTTACCAGCCTTTAACACTGTAATGATGAGGTACAGTTAATTTTGAGTTTCTAAATCTCAAGACTAAGTATGAGAGCAGAAGCTAATTGTTTGTATTAATTATTGCTATTAATGGTATACTCTATTTTTCCGACTCTCCATATGTTGAATAAAACTGCTGTTTCAGACACTCTTCTTTTATCCTTCACATATCTTTAATTATGCTTATGATAATAGTCTACCATATGCTATCTTTTTAAAGATAAGAACAATAGGATACCAGTTCTGAGTTGGGTAGTAAGAAAAAAACCCCAATGTTTCAATTTCAAAAAAACCCTGTAAAGTCAATGAATGAATCAATGACTAGACTGCTGAATACCTCACAGTAAGGCAAAGGTATACTTAACTGAGCTAAAGTAGAAGAAAGTTGCAGTTCTCCACTTGGGTCTGCTAAATTATTTGAGCTTTAAAATCAAAATTCAGTTATATATGAATAATGATTATTTATGTTAAGTTAGTTCAAGCATCTGGTCCTGGAAATTAAAATTGAAAATTCAAAACTGTATTCCAGAGAGTTATATGAGTTAAGTATGCCGATTTATAGCGACAGAGACATTAATGGTGGTAGATTTTACTTTTCTCTGGAATCAGGAGGAGAATGAATGCTACATTTTTATCACAGATAGGCAGCCAGAGTATTTCTCCTTGTATGTAGTTTTGATTCTTCATGTCTCACATGTTCATAAACAATTCGATAGCTAACGCGTGAAATGATGTGTTGGTGAGGTAAGAGACAGACTAATGGACAGTACCTGCAGGGGTGAAGGTGAAGGACTGAACTGCAAAACAAGAAAGCAAACACATTGTGAGTTACACACCCTGACACAAAGCGCTCATCACAGGGCACGAGTTTCCTCTGGAAATTACTCGGTTGGGGTTGAATATCATAAGCAGGACACAACAGCTGAGCTTAAAGCACCAACCAGCCAGCAGCCAATGAGAAATGATGGTTGGAAAGATGAGCAGTGAATTTGGACAGTCACATTTGAAGACTCTCAGTGCAGACATGCTGTTCTCCAAGTTGTAAACATTAGGATGAACTTTGAGGCATGATCTGTTATCTACTTTCCTTGCTGAAAGCACACACAATTTCATGATGCAATCAATGCTCACATCACACTTAGGTGCAGCAAACGCCATGAGGAGGAATGAGTTGCATGAGACATGTTGTTTATAATTATTTATAGCTATGCTCTTCAATTTAGACTGCTCTCAATTCTCCCTCACCCCAATACGCCAGCTCACATACAGGACAAATAATCTCACTTTTTATGAAAAATCTAGTCTCAGCTTGGGTCCAAAGCTTTAGGTAGGACTACTTCCTAAGAGAAATAACAGCACAGCAGTCTCTAGTATGGAAAAATTTTGGGATCTAGGATGATATTTCATGTCAGCACATGTATAAGTGTGTGATATACATATATTAATTTCTCAGTTCGAACCACCCCACCTCTCAGAGAATAAAAGTTACTGCTATTAAAGGAAAGAAAAAAAACACCGTGGGACAAAGCACAAACCATGAGTGACAGAGATCGTGTGGTGACACAAAGTGAGGTTCCACAAAAACCAAGGAGGTCCAAAAACCACTGGTCCCTCCTTCCTCTCTTTCCACTGCTCATCTGATATCTTGTTCTTTCACTAAGCCAGTAGAAAACAAGCACAGCAGGAAGGATTGAAAACCAACACAGAACAGTTTCCTGCTGGTTTAGGGAGCCCTGTCAGGACACTGTGGAGTCTGACTATGGCTGAGTTGAACTGGGAACAGTTTGCCTGTGACTGTGGGGTTTTGGCAAGTTGTTGCTCAGCCATTTAGGGAACCTGAGTCCTTGCTTTCGGATTTGATAACTTGTAAATAGAAGGGCACTTGTGTAACTTTAGTATGATATAATGTCAACACTAAATATGTTCGGTCCTCAACTGGGCGAATGTTATTCTCTTTTTAAGTATTAATAAAAACTACATGAGAACCTACTGCAGTATTTGAAGAATTGGGGTTTTTTTGTGCGTTAAATTAGGCCTCAGAGTAACCCATTTTATGACAGTTCACATGACTTCCCAAAAATTCGTAAGAATCCTGAAAACAGAATAATACACAAAACAAAGTTTGAGGATAGATGAAAATATTTTCATTTGGCAAGCGTATTTAATTTTCCAAATGTAGTTTTCAAAAACTAATTTAAAACTGAAGCAAACATTTAATGAAAGAGAACATTCCAAGATGTCCTGCCTGCAAGACAAAACTGTTTATGGCTTCTGCCTTGGGTAAATTTTGACCACACTTCTCTGTCTAATACATCATTCTTCCAGCTACAGGTATGAAGTCACTGATTAAGTACCTTCATTTATTTGCCATGCACATGGCTTCAGAGACATGGAAATGCACAGGAATGAAGAAGTAGAAGATGAAAAAACTCTTTCCTTGTAAGGGTTAAGTCTATCTCATATTTGAACATATAAATGATGCTGCACTGCCAACAGAGTGCCTTCTGAGCAAGGGGCAAGAGGAGCAGTTAATCCCCTTTGTACTTTTTTAATGCTAGATGGGCTGGAGATGTAAAAATACTGCCTTATGATAATGATGAAACGTGGTACCGAGCAATGCATTTAAAGCTTCTCATACACCAGCAATTCTACAGCATACATTTAAAACAAGCACAAAGAAGTCACCCAGGATGCTTTGGCTGTAAGTTCAATGTGGTTTTTAGGTAGGTTTAGTAGCCCCAGTCCTTTTTATGATAGCACCTGCAGAGATGGCAGTAAAGTCACTGCTCTTACCAGCATAATTGCTGAGCCCCTTCCTCTTCTTTCTTCTCCAGTACAGCCAGATGCTGAAGCCCATGAGAATGACCCAACATGCACCACCAATGCCAGCTATAAAGGCAGGCTGCTTGACCACATCAGTAATTTGCTCAGTTATGCTGTTGTTATTTTCAGTGATGACAACTTCGTTACGACCTCCTGCACAAGAGAAATGGAACAGAATGTGGTTGTTCTGGACTCTGTAACACACAGGGGAACCAGTGTTCTACAAATTAAAAGTTTTTTTAAAATGGTAGTGGGTCTCAAAAGTATTACCAACAGTAGAAGAACTTTAAGGAGTTCTTCTCACAATCTTAGTGTTTCTAGAGTAAATTCATAGCCATTTGCAGATATATTTGCAGAGGCAGACCTACAGCATGCTCCCAAGTAATCTAACAGATATCAATCCAGAGCTTTTTTTTAACAGAATATATATTTGTTAGTTTATTTTTCCACAGTTGTAGACAGAAGACAACAATGAGAAAATGCATCACAGGAAACTAATAAAAAATAAATCAAGCAATCAATAAATAGCTTTCTCCAAATGAGTAATCCAAATACAAAATATGCTACAACATCAGAAGAAAACCAGAAATTCTTACTCAACTCATTTGTTTTCCCTGAATGCTAGCTTCCAAATTTGAAACAGACAATAAAATGAATGCACTTTCCACTAGGGCAAAGATGCAGCAATTATTTCAAGGGGAAAACAATTCACACAAATTGTGTGTACCATCTTTGACACAAAGCTGAAAATCGCACAGTTAACTGTAAGCACTAAACAATCACAGCAACAGATGGTATTTTTTTCACCTATAATATGCATACAAATTCTTAACATCAACCTGCAAGGAATAATTATTACTTGGAATACTAATTAAAGTGACATGAATTAAAAAATTACTATATAGGATCTTAAATTGTATATTACAGTAGAAAACTGTAAATTCCAGTAGATGCTCCCACTGGTTTTTTACCCGTCTTTATCTAAAAGGGAACTTTTCTAAAAGAAAAATCTTGGCATTTGGCTTGAAAACAAATGCTCATAAAAATCAGCATGAAAATCCAGGAAATGCTAAAGCATGTAATTCTAGGGCCAGCACTTTCAAATTGTCAAAAATAGTTAGTTTTAAAATTAGGAAATGCAGAACATATTTTTCTAAAAAAAAACCCCAAAATTTTATTCTATGTATATTTTATATAAACTGTCCACATCTGCAGTTTTGAAATTCATGAAAGATTATCCATAATTTCCAGTAGAAGCATTTATGTAGCTCAATCCTTGAAATGTTTATGCAATATTACCAGATGCCTGTATGCACTCTGAAAAGCTGCAAGAGCAGCTACTCTATTGAGACAAAGAAGATGCAAACAATATGATTCTCAATTATGAGAGTCTATCACACACATAAAGGTAGTTGAACACTGCAGTAAAACACTGAAATGGTCACTCAGAGGAAATTATTAGAAGTATTGTATCATTATGCCATGCTGTGAAAATGTACATATTCCTTTTCTATAATTCAGCAATGGTTAGATTTATGTCTTCCAACAGAGCAGCTCGCTGGCTTCAGCCTAAAGCCAGCACTCAGGGTCTCTGGCAGAAGCAGAACTGAGAAGTCTGACACTTCCAGTCCCTTTTCCACAGACACCTCTTTGCAGGTGAGCCGGAGGTCACACAGCCATGTTTTATAAAAGAGGATGCTTTGAGATGGTTCCTCTGGGACTGCCTCTGCCCAGCACTGCCCCTGCCAAGAAGCAGCTTGTTCAGAGCTGGGCTGGGTTAATTGGGAAGAAATGCAGTGCCCTGTGTGCCATTGCTATCACACTGCTGATGACCCTGGTGAGTTTATTTGGCTTCCTCTCTTTCAGCACCACATCAATATTTAGTACTGATGACTGTCTGCTTTTGCAATCAGACTGTGGAAGCTGTGCTAGAGCTTGGCTTGCCTTCAGTCTTTCTGGGCAAGGAACAAAAACAGGCTCCCTGCAAGCAGAATGGGTCCCACAGAAAGATGCTGCTAGATGTACAAAAAGTGCCCCAGTACTGGTGTCATGCACCAGTCCATACTGGCCATGCTGGGGAGCTTTACTAACGTCAGCACCTGGGAGCTGCAGCTGTCCTTTGCCTCACTGCATTTTTGTCTTGCCACTGCCAAAGGCCCAATGGCTTCCAAGCCTGATTCAGTATGTGAGAATGAAACTGAGTGAGCAGCTATGGCAAGGGAAGAAATCAGGCAGCAGAGGCTGCTCTATCTGATTTTCCTTGTTTTTTTCTGCCCATGGAACCAATCCATAGGTGCCCCCCAGTGCTGAAAGAGGAAGGGCTGACAGTAAAACAAATAGAGAGGGGCTCTCTATGGCATGCTCTTCCAGACACAAAATCAATTTTCTAGTAGAAATCAGCATGGGAGTTGGAGTTGCTCTAATCACCATTAACTTGCAGTTAATTTCTGTGCCCTTTGGAGGAGAGGCCAAAGCAGTGGGACAGTGAGGAAACAGGTAGTTTTGGCACTGCTTCAGACACACAGCTGTGCTACCAAGGAGAAGAGCAGGCAGGGAAGTGTTTTGGAGACACAAGTTTTGGGAGGGGATGCTCCTGGATTCAAGAACGAGTTCTTTTCACTAAAGCCCCCAAAAACATCTGAGGAGCCTGTCTTCTCTAAGACCAGAAGACATTCTTTTGAGAATGGAGGATATGAGAGCAAATTGCCACGAGCCTGGGGAGAGGTTTCAGTGGCTGTGTGCTCTGCCTGTCTTCTAGGGGAACATAGTATCTGTCTCCAAATTACCTTCTAAAGTTTGCAGTCTGGCTGTTTGTTCTTACCCTTCGGTGCCTAGCAATTACAACTGCAAAAGTAATAATTCATTTAAATGTCAAAATAACATATGCTTTGTGAATTGGATGATGGAAAAATAAATGGAGACAGATGAATGTTACCCACTGACTTTTGTTAAGATTAATATAATTGTTGGGGGTTGGGGAAACAAACAGCATTAGTCTTGTACTTCTTTATATAATATTTAAGCAGAAGTAATAAATATGTCATCCAAGGTACCAGTGTATTATTTCATACACTGCAGGTGGTTCTGTAACAATGCTGTCAGTTCAACTAATTAGAACACAGACAAGGGAAGTGTGCGACCTGTAACGCTCCATTGTTCCTGAAGACAAAAACATAATGAAATATAATGTCTTCCTCCCATTGGAGAGTAATGAAGAACAAAACTAATTTGTCGGACCAAAAATTAATTAGACACATCAGATTCGATTGTACCTATTACTGTGAAAGTTTGCAGCTGTTCCTCATATTATTATGCCAATGATGGAATGTAAGAGGGACCAGGCCAACTGATGAAGAGAAATAATAACTACAGCATTAACCAGCGCTGCCCTTATCTCAAATTTTACTTCTGGTTTTCCAAGTGAGTATTTTTTAGCATATCATTAATGATCATAAAAGTTTTATTCTTGATTCTCTTTGAGTTTTCCATAAAATTTTTCAACATCCTGCTTCAAGATTCCTGTAACAGTGAGGCAATTTCTAACTAAAGGAATAATATACTTCCTACTAGTTCCTATTCTCCTGTTTTTGCTTTCTGGATTGTCACAGGTCTGTTATCTAAAATTACTCTGGGAGGCCAGTAGTTGATTATCCACCATGAAAACTAGTTATTTTCAGAAATAAAAATCCTGAAACATTTTTGGAAGAATTAATCCTGTATTTAAAAAAAAAAAATCTCTTTCTGCACACTGTATCTCATGACTGTTAAAATTTTTACTTCTTAGAAACACAGCTTAACTCTCCTGCACCACTGACCTGTTCTTACCATAATTCAGCATTTCTAGAGCTGTTCATTCTGTTTGCAAGTTGTTAAATGGTATAGATAAGCACCAGACCATATAGAACTCTATTATAATAACCCAATAATGCTTTCCCATTCATTATGATGTTTTGAGGTTTGCTCACTAGCTAATTTTAAATCCATGTAACTAGGTTTCTTTAAATTTACTTTAAAAATAATTTTCATATTTTATGATTCTGATTCCCATTCAAATGTTGAATGGTGCCAACTCAAGTTTTTCAGAAATGGTATCACTTAAACAATCTTACATTTATCAAGCAAACTTATAGTCTGAGAAATAACTGCTAGCAATTCATAATCAATAGCAAAATTGGACCTAAAGAAAAGGGAGATACAAACCATATATGTAATAAACACATCCAGCTTCAAGCTCCCAAAAGAGAAACAGAAATGAAAACAGAAACATAACCAAAACAGAAAATACTTTCCATTACTTTTCATGCAAATGACTCTCAAATGTGCAAAGATGTCACCAGACAAACTTGTTGAAGCAGAAATTGTGGGATCATTTAAGGAACAAATAAGTGTCACTAAAAACTCTGGGAATCATCCAGAAAAGAATTTTGGTGCAAGTATAACTCACAACACATTAAGCAACACAATGTTACCCAGGTACTTAAAATGCAACACACTTATTGTCCTTTGCTGGAGTAAGTGCAGTATATTTCATGCCTAGTTAGATGGACCCCTTAATGAAATAAGAAAAAAAAAAAAAAGTCCTGGGTTTCTTGCATCTTCAAATATCAATCTTTTGTTTTCACTTCTACATATCTTTTTTCCATCTTTAGTGTTTCTGTGGCTCCCTTGTCTAAACCAAGTGCTACCTTCACTTCCACTCTTGTATTTCTGTCTCCTGTGAGACTTCACAGCTGAAGTACCCTAGCTTCTGTTTTGATGAATGAGGAACCTGAATATCAATAAACATTTAAGCAATGCTTATGGGACAGTCTTTTCTAAGGGTCTGCACAAAATAGACTAGTCCATGTTTGGGACAGTGTACTGACAACATTTTCTAGAAAGAAAATACTTAGTACCAACAGAAGTTCCCCAAATAAACAAACAAACAAAAGTCCCTTTAAGTAATAACTAAGTTAGATCACATAGATAAAAGGCAACAAAATTCCTGTATTGTGCACTCAAAAGAGGTGCTGCTTTGCACAGCTCATTTCAAGTTTGTTAAACATAATTTCTTCCAGTCTTCCATATTGTTACTACCTTTATACTCGGGAAAAATTTCAAAAGAAACAAAATCTGTGCTTCCCTCAGGTCAGGAAATTAGTTCTACATGGAGACTACTATCAAGAAACAAGTATTTCAAAGACTGGGATGATAATGCTACCTTTGCTCTCTAATTGGTCTAGAGATCACTATTTCTTTGACAGAGGAGGCTTGTGTCCTTGGATTACGTGAGAAACACTGACTTTAGACATTCAGAAAACAATGTTAAATACTGCCTTAGGCACCAGTGGAATGAGTAAGGCAATATTCCAGCCATCTTAACAGAGGGAAAAGGGAGCTTGGGCTGCTTGTTCCACACATCTACCAACCTGCAGAAGTGGTAAATTCATTAAAAAAAAAACAAAACAAAAACATTAAATCAGTTTCATTAGGCAATCTGCATTTTCTCATCTGTCTTGGGAACATGCTTCCCTTTGTTGTCTGCAAGAACTTTGCAGGAAGAGAAGAACAAACCATCATCAGGCAGGGGGATGAAAAAGCTAACTAACCAGCTCTAGTCAAATTTTGTCTTTTGCTCCACAGATTTTTATACTTCCAGAGGTAATGCATGAAAGCATTTCTGAGAGAGAAAAAAAAGAAAACAACAAAAACAACAACAAACAGGCAAAGCAGAACAGAACAGACAATAACTTACCAATTATTATGGGTTGTGGGTCACTTTTTACTCCCACACCTGCACTGGTGCTTGCAGCAACTTCCACACGGTACTGGATACCTGGATATAGGCCACCTATTACTACAGACCGAATGGCTGCATCTACTGTTTTGTTGATATGAAATCGAGTCTCATTACCTAGGCACCAGATCTGGGACAAAAGTTGATGTGTTAAAATAGATAAAATTCTTCACACTCACACAATCGCGCATAGATATGACATATCAAGGTATTTCATGGCAGTCACTTATTTGGGACTTCTTGACAATCTTATTGTCCAGGATAGCTGAAATTGGGATGATTTAGCTCAGCAAGGTATCCCAGATTAGCACAGGACCAAGCCAGCTGCAAAGACTGCTTGCAAATACCTTTCTGGACTCTGGCTCTCCATGGAGTACAAATTCTGTGCTTATACTTCTTAGAAGCACAGATCAGATCATCCAAATAGAAAAGAGGGGTTATTCGTTAATCAGAATCTTATTTATCAAACTATTTGTTAAAAAAAACCAACATTTTTTTCCTTCTAAATTTCCTGTTGAACAGCAAAAGGATACCAAATATATGACCACAGGTTGAAACACTTCTTAAAACACTAAAGAACAAACAATTTTCAAAATTCATTTCAACTTCCTTTCATGCACAAGAGGCATTTTTAGAATTTCTGAATAAGCACAGGCTCACATTTACTGCTGCCTCTGTGATTATTTACATTGTTTAGGAATCCAGACATCAGTTTCCCGCTTAAATATTACCTACTTAAACAGAAAATCCACCCTAAAATCACAACTGGCATTTTGTGATGAGAACAGTCTGTGAGTTCAGAATGTCATGTCTCCCTCTTGCATGTTTTTATAGGATTCTCCAAAGAGGTTTCAGAACTAACTTCTAGGCATGTGTCTTCAGTTAAGGCTATCTGCAAGTCTTGCTCCTGTATTACTAAAGAAAGCTTTTACCACCACACAGGAAAATCAATGCATAAATATATCACATGTACACAAACATAAAAATAACAGCAGAAGAAAACACTATTGGTGGAACCACTATCAGTGAGAAACTAACGCATCTAAGCAACAGCAATAATATCTTTGCACTTACTTTTGACCCTGTTCAGTGTTTTACCACACGTTAGCTCTTTCTTCTGTGAAGTGCTGAGAAAGATTTGAAGAGGAAAAAAATTCTCTTGTTTTCCTAAACCTAAAGTGATCCTATTTGCCAGCCAGAATGCATTAAGGTGAGTAACAATTGCATTCATTCCTTCACTCCTTGTCTGTCCTGGTCTTAGGTTACAACAGCTGTGAGATGTCCCTAATTAAAAGCATTTAATTCATGAATGAATTTACAGGCATTCCGATGCTTGAAGTGGAATCAACAGATCTATTTCCAATTTGTTAGAAAATGCACTGTGGAATTTCAACAATTATTTTATACTCAGGTAAATATTAGACTCTCTGCACCATTCACTGCAGCCAGTTCACTACTCAGGCAGCCACCTAATCTAACACAGGAGGGCTGTAATAGGTAGTGACTCCAGCTGGTTTTATACACAGCCCAGAGGCTGAGCACTCACCTGGAACATGGCTTTCATTAGCCATCAGCCCACTTGCTTCATATCTACATGTTTAGTGGTTTAGGAGTGTGCTTTACTCATTTCCCTATAAGCCCTGGATGGTTTATATTGACTTGTACTGGAGTCAGGATCAAGATTAATTAAGCCAAAGGATAATTATTAATTCATATGAAAAATAGATCAATAAAATACTGGGATTAATAAATCTTGATATTGACTAAAAGCAAAACAAAAGAATTGCTATGCTAAACATAAACATTGTGAGCATTTACTGCATCCCTCTGACCAAGTGAAAAGCTGGAATAGGTTGAACCACTATCTGATTTAGAAGCCAAGCACTTTCTCCCTTCTTCATGCTGTGTTCCCTCATGACACAAAAGGGGGAAAAAAAAATCTTTTTATGTGAAATAAGCTGCAGTCACCACTTCCACCCTTTGTGGGACTGTCAAGAAAGCTGCCCTGATCCATTTCAATTAAACATTTCACACTTGGTGTATATAAGCAAGCCACAGTAAGGTTAATTTACCAAACTGAGCTCCATGCTGTGACAAGGCTGAACCTCGCCCAATTATTTTCTCCACCTGCATAACAGAGTGCTTTTTTTCTAAATGTTGTGAAAATATCCTTGTGCAAAAGTGATCTTAGTATGAAATTACAGACTACAAAAACATTTAATGTATAAGGAGTGGATATTTTGAGCCATCATGGTAACAAAAAGGAAGAAAATACAACCAACGCAAGCAATTCTCATGTAGCAAACTTTGGATATACTACTTGTGTTCAACCTGTTTCTCAGAGCAAGCAACCTGGCACTTTAAATCGTGAAGCTTGACAGTGATAGTACTTGGAAGAAGTCTTGAATTATCCCAGAGTCACAGTCCTTGACTTTGACCTGGAAGTGTTAGGATTAGCATTTTTGCAGAGGAAATAAGAAGCAACTTTCCTGCCAGCTTTGCTGCCAGATTGAAGGCATTCCAAGAGAGGGACTTCACTGCCTGTCTTTAGAGTACAGAAGCCCCTTTCAAAAAATACCCCCTCTTCTTGTTCCACAGGAATAGCAGGGAAAAGCTAGAAAGATAAGAACTGCAAACTGGCTAGAAATTACAGCTCTCTTTCATATCAATCTCATGGTGTTTTGCTTCTTAATATAACAGTAGTAGTGACAATAATAATAATAATAATAATAATAATAATAATAATAATAAAGAAATCCATAAGCAGTCAGTCCTCTTTCTCCATATAATTATATGGGCAACTGTAAATGCTGTCAGAATGTAAATCCATAAACAGTGGTACTGTTCTGTAATTCAAGCAGGCTGTTTCCCTAAACCATCCCATCAGACATCGTGCGCACCTTGTACTCCTGGATGACTCCATTTTGGTGGTCTGGAGGGGGAGGATCCCAGGAAATGCTGATGCTCGTGCTGTTGTGATTTCCAACTGTCAGGACAGTGACAGACTGAGGAGGAGCACTTGGGGCTACACCAAGGAGAGGGAGCAAACAGAAGCAAGGCATTAATTCATTTGCTAAGGCACGGATTTTGCTGAAGCAGTGCAAGAGCAAGCAGAAAGTACAGAAAACTCACACTCTCTGCAGGCCTAGGGATGTGCTCTTGTCAGACACTGACAGTGTTGAAAAATGCCCCTCTGAAGAGAAGCATAGGGCTGAATGACAATGTGGAATTCGTGGCAGTGGAGAATCAATACAAATCACTCCTCATTTATTTATATTTGGCATTTCTTAAGCTTGCATTGGAATTGTTCTCGCGTTTGCCTTTGTTTTCCATAATATGCATGAATAACTATGGATATATCAAGTAAGTCACATGTAAGCCTGCTTCACCTGGCCTGAAAACTGTTTTGGTTCTTCTATTTTTACATGATCTAATAATGATGTGAGCAGCCAGCATTTAATGTCCCTTTTTGTTTGCTCTCCAGGAAGACAATACCAGGTTTAAACATAGAACTTGCAACTCTGAACTGGAAAAGGGTTAAAATGTTCATGGCTTTACATCAAATACCAGTAAATAGAGCAGGTGCTAAGTTAGGTCACATACGTATTTATGTCCTTTTCTGCCCCTAGGTAAATTGCATTCTCTTCAGAGTCCTGCTCAGTTCAACCATTCACAGCTGTTTGGCTGGTCACTGCACACCAAGGCCAATTCTACAAGACAACCGCTTGCCAGCCCTGCATGTTGTCTAGAAGCGTGGAAAAATAAAAGAAAATCACAGTTATTAGTGACCAGAGCTCTGCTGGCAAAGCCCCTCTTGCAGCTACACCAGCAGCAGGGTGCCTCTGCTGGCTCAGGACACGCTGCCTGGGAAGGGGTGCAGGAGCTCTGCTATGGAAAAGTCTCCTCTGTGAGCATCTGCTACATCCATACTGGGCTCTCTCAGCATGGCTGTGGCTGCCATGGCAAAGGAATGTCAATATGGCCCTGCTCAGCCACCTGAAACTTCTTGCAGCCCCCCCTCATCCTTCCCTTGCTGCCAGGCAAGTGTTGAAACTCCACCACGGTGGTGAGCTAGGCCACCGAGGTCGACTGTATTATATTAAGGTATAGTCCCTGGGGGGAAAAGCTGATGGATAGCAGCTGCTTGGAACTGGTCCTAAAATTTATTTATTCCATCTCTCCCAGTCCATCTACCCAGTCTTCAACAAAACTAATAGAAAGAGGCCAGAAAAGTGTGAACTAATGCAGCAAGCATAGAGTGATACCTCTCCAGGACAATTTTCCAGTTCACAGGAGCCTGTTCTATTGCTTGGACACCTTCTGTTCTAGAGAGGTGTCTTTGTGTTTAATAAATACTTATGGAATTTGTCTTCCACATATTTTTCATTGCTTTTAATCTGATCTTAAAACATTTCATATGAAATATGAAAGCTGATTTTGAAAACTTATAATAGAATCATATCAGAACCTAAAATATTTATCACTCTCCTGCCCCAAATTCAAGTCTCGATGACAATGTGCTCTGGGGCATTTCAATCATGTGTCAAGGCTCCCTGGCTCCAGACCCCTGGTCAGAGTGACTTCTTCACTGCTAAACTTTATGGCAATATAACTCTAATCTTATCCTTAACAGATACCCCTGAGCCCATGCCTATCCTTGGACCATGCTTCCCAGAAAAGCCAAGAGCCCCTGGCATCTTTGTATTGAGGTCTGGCAGGTTTAACACAAATAAACACAGCTACAGATATCAGGAGTGTTCGAGTCTCCTGAGTCAATTCAGATATTCCTATTGTTCTCCACAGCCTCTTTGAGGCTGGCTGTGCTCCCACGTCAGAAGCTCCTCAACACTTGACCTGGCACAGGCTCATGGAGAAGAGCTCAAATCTTTACCCTGATAACCCTGAAAAATTGGAGTGCTCTGCTGCAAGGCTCACACAACTTCAAACTCGGGTATCAGAGGTGAGGACAAGGAACCATACAAGACTACAGCAGAAAAAAAAAGAAAATTTTAGATGAAAAATGAAACACATATTACAGTCCTGGGAGGCTTCACATTTCGACAACTGCATTTTCAGATGCAGGTTCAGCTGCAGAGCTAATAGTGCTTAGTAGAGTCCTTGTGACCTTGCCTGATGCAGAGAAACAGTGAACTGGAGGGGAGAAACGGAGCTGTATTGTGGGAAATTTGACTCTTAGCCAGCTTGAATGAAGCATGGAAAAATGGCCTTGGGCTACTCCTTGCAATCGTGCAAAGCTTAAAATTGCTGAAATAAATAGTTGTATTGTATATTTTATGGCAAGTGAAATAATTTGCCACACAGTTAAAAAAATTAGCATTTTAAAAGTCTTCAAGTTATTCAGTAACAACAGAACTGTGAATAAACGTACGTGTGTGATATTAATTAGAATATTTTATGTGAAAATAATAATCATAAAAATGGCAAAGCTTAACACTGCATAACTCATTTTTGGTTTTAAGTACAATGGAACAACTTGCTCCAATATATTTACTTTCATTACTGAAACAAAAAGGGCATTCAGAAATACGTCTTATATGCACATATCTGGGGGGAGAAGGAAGTGTGAATGCAAAAGAAATGTAAAATAAATACCATACTCTAAATTTTTTTTAAAAACCATACTGTATTCATTTGTGTTTTCATTTAAACTGCATGAACATTCTAGTTAATATTCTACCAGTGTGTGTTGGTGTTTTTGAGGTTTTTTGAGGACATAGGATGAATTTGAAGCAAAATTAAAATTGCAGCTAATGAATGCAGCTGTGAAAATATCATTTTAGGCACTGATCTAAGGTGAGGAGAAACTGACAAAAGCAGCTGATAAAAGCTAAGGAGACCTCCCTTCCTGTCATATTTTTGTGGTGACAAACAAGATGCAGGACAAGTACTACTCCACAATGTTATTCCAAAGGAGATGTAACAGTGGATGCAACTAAAAAAAAAAAAAAAAATAGAATAAAAAAAAAAATCATCTGTCTCTAGAGAAAGTATGAAAGAAATAGTGAAAATTATAAAATAAAATCTTTGATTTAGCTCCCACTGTAGGCGTGTACACATGTTTCTATGTACCAGCTCAGCTTCCTCTCTCTGATAATATCACTCTGTAAGCTGGGACTGTGATATAAATTAAGCCACTTGTCTGACACCACTGCAGTTATTAAATAGATCACATTGAAAAATAACATTTTTAAAACCCTTTTCTCATTTCCCTTGCTGCTGGCTTGTGGAGAACACCTTGCCTGCTTCTTGACAGGTCAATTATTCCAGTGCTCAGCTTCTTCTTACAGATATGAAAGAACCCAAATCGCTGCTCATCTTTTCCAGACGCAGCCAAACAGAATTCCATTTGTTACTTTCACAAGGCCAAAGAGGCAGGAGATGGATGGATACTGAACCGTGACAAATGTCTGATCTAGAGGAAAAGTCTAACTGCAGCAAAATTGATTTTTAAAGGTAGGCCTCAGAAGTAACATTGCATGTAAAATCCAATCCAGCAGAAAGTTGCCACTACCTTTTGGTTGTTCTTTGCCTTTACCAGGGATATTTGCTTTGATTTTGCAAAAAAAACTTCCAACACTAGTATCACTTTCGCAAATTATTTTCTAAAATTAGTATTGCTGACATTTTTTAAAAGTCAAGGCTAAAAAAAGCTCATTTTTGAAATGGAATCACAGTCAACACAGACTTAAATAGACTGCCATCTCCCTTCAGTGGAAGAGGAGCAAACCACTGTCATTAGACACTTAGTTGATACTATTTTTGAAATACATGAACACCGATATAACTACAAAGATAATATGAGGAATTAAAGGAAATATCTGTAGAACTGCATCTACTGAATGTCTTAATTTTCTCATGGAAGTACTTAATTTTATTACCCAAGGAAGAGGAATAATTTTTTACAGGAGCTGACATTTTCCTGGTGATAATATTACAATATTTTTTTGAGAGGAGATGCTTGTAAACAGACTCTTTTAAGGTTATATTAATCTACAAAGCAGATCCTAGGCTATGACTTATACATATCTGCAGGCAGGAATATTTTTTTAAATCTTCACTATGTGGAAAGCTTTTCCACATGAACAAAGTGTCCTTTAAGGTAGGAAATTACCTGACAGGCTCTGCTGGGAGCTAAGGCTTATAAATGAGAATGTCATTCTTCAAGTATTTAATAGAAATAGACAGGAGGTATAAGACCTTCTTTTTTTTTCTGTAGTTCATATTTTACCTTTAGGAAGAGGCAGTTAGATTAACTAAATAAACACAAAAAACAACTGAAATTTGACTAGAGGAAAATATGCTAGTGAGAGGACAAAATCCCACATTTTAATCCCAGAGAAGAAAATTCACCTGTAGAAATCTTTTTAAAATTTTCTTTTTTATTAAAAAAAAAAGTTTGTTCAGAGTGCTGCAAACATATTTCTCACCAGCTCGTTTAGTTTGAAGAAAGATCTGGGGACCATAAAATCCCAAATTCCAAATTACACTTGAAAACTGCCTTCCTGCACACTCTTCTACATGTTGCAGGACACTGAATTTCCTCCTCCATGAAGTGCAAAGCGCAACCACGTTATCTTCAGTTTTACTTACATGTTGGGTAATAATCATAACAAATCAAAGAGGAAAGTGAGTAATAAGCAAGTCTGTTCTAGAATTAAAGAGTACTTGGCAATCAGCACTAAATTAAACCTCAGGAGACTACTGTAAATGATTAAGATGCACTTTCAGTAGGAAAGAAAGAGTGCACTCAAAACCCATTGAAACCATATGAACATTTTAAAACTTCACCAATATTTCTTTTTCTTGCTTAAAAAAAAGTAAAATTAAAAAAAAATCAGTGACACAGAGAGAAGATGAACCTTTACTGTTAGGACCATCCTACTTTTACAGGAGATATTCTCCATGCAAAGACTGCATTAGATAGGTAAAAAAAAAGGTGGTTTTCTAAAAGCAAATGATTAAAATTACTGACATCTCACCCCAGTGTCTTTACTTTTCAACAAAAAAACCCAGCAGCCCTGGAGTGCACATGCTTTAGCACAGCTATATACGATATATGGATATAAAAGCTCGAGCATTTCAGAAGTATAAACTCTTCACTCTGAATCCTGACTCTTTCAGTGAGGCTTGAAAGGTGCTCAGGGGAATCCTCTGCAGCACGGAACAGGGCAGTTTTATGAACACTGTGCTAACAGAAACTGTGAAGTGGTGTGCCCTTGAGACTGGAGTTTCTCCAGACTAGTTAAATATATGTCCTTCACTACTCCTCGTTTCCCAGCCAACTGCTCATCTACATTATTACCCATTCAGAAAGATGTGCTTAGTATCAAACACTCATTTGTGAGAGCTTGCATTTATTTTATTTTCAAAGTGCAGACCAAAGTCTTTTATTGCAGCAGCAGTGGTTACAAAAGAAGGGCTGCAGTGCACACTTTTTGGAAGACCAAAAGCCACCTGTACCTTAGAAGGATGTATCAGCTAGAAGAATGTAAGACCAGTACAGTGCTTTCTCAGGGGAGATTTACGGCACAAGGCTGAATATTATATCAAATTTTAATGTCACCTTGGTGTGTAACAAACAGAAATCACGTGGAAGAAAGAGATGAACACATGCACACACAGAATAACCTCCAGTGTCAGCTATGAAAACTCTTTGCTTTCCTGCCCCTTTTACCAACCTTCCTCTGTGGTACGAGCAGACTTGGATTCACTGTCCATCCCTTGGAATTCATTGAAGTAAGGGCGGACCTTAATTTCATAAGTGACCCCCTTTTTCAGGCTGACGAGGACGGCACTGCGCTCGGTGGGGACTTTGACCTCCAGGTTCTGCCACACAGCCGGAGCAGGCAGGCCGGAGGTTTGGCGATACAGGACCCGGTAGCCCTGGATAAACTGGGACTGCCGGTCGACCTAGAAATGACAATAAATAATACATCAGTAAACATATTAAAATAAACAAAAAAAGCAACAAAAAAAACCTCAATGTGTAAAAAGAAAACAAAACAGTTGCCTAGAATAATTTTGCTCTCATCAAAAAGAGAAAATTCACAGTTATGATGCTGAATTTAATAATCTAACTACCTTCTTGTAAGTCACTGTTGATTAATTGTCTAGAAAGAGCATTTGTCTCACATTACTGGTTGCAGAATATTTCTTTCTGTTTTGCTTCCTCCAGCTCTATGTATCATGACAAATACCACCTTAAATCATAAAACAAGGCCCCCACCCCTGCAATAAATCATGAAAAGAAAACTTTGGCATAAGGCTTGCTGCATGTAAACTTACTAAGCACATCTTGGCTACTGATGTGCCGAAACAGGAGAAGAAAAGAAAAACAAATTCTTTTCAGAAAAGGGCAAGTCTTTGAAGATAGCCTGCATGCTTACAATTAGTCCATTACTTGGCTCACAGCTCATGAAATGCACAGCAAATTAAAATAAACATAAGACAGATGCAGAAAAAACAATTTCCAAAGACATATGCTGTTTCTTCTGTTCACAGCCTGAGCAGCCCCTTTGCATCCTGGGGCTGTGATGCTCTCAGGCCATCAGATGGAGATGGAATGTTGGTTTTGGTTTATATTTTATTTGTTGCTAGGCAAGCAGAATTCAAGATTGCACTATGGAAGTTTAACAATTTTATCCTATAAATAGGATTTTTATTTGAAGAAAACCTTTATATGTATTTTATCTAGGAGAGGTTGCATGCATCTATTTATCTTCAAAAAAAATACCTGAAAAACAAGTCATTATGATTCTTGCACAAATTTTTCTTGGAAAAAAAAAAAAACAACCCAAAAAACCAAAACTGATCTAATTGCTAAAAGTAAACTAAACCCAGCTGCTTCTCTAGCTGCTAAATCAGGAGCAAGGAAAGTGTAGCACAAATAACAAGACTATACAGCTGGCTGTTTGGTAATTCTGTGTTATAACTAAGACTCAACAAGTAGGATATTTCTTATGTTCTTGTCAATTTGCCTGCTCAAAGATATTCCAGAATTAGAGAAACATTTGTTTGACTTCTCTTAAGAATAAATGAATTAAAGGCTGCAAACACAAACCACGGTCCATTATGCTCCTCCTATAATCTTGTTACTCTTATTGAGGCATTCAGAGGGGACACAGATTCTTAGACATTAAAAAACAAGGCAAGCAAGAAGAAAGCTTTATTTATGAAAGCAAGGCAGAAATGTCTTTCATCAAAACTGTCACTGTTAAAAACCTTGCAACATATGTTACAACAACATTAAGCCTGCATTTTATAAACTTCTCTGCATTCACTTTAACTGAATTTATGCACTGAAAGAGGGATATAACTCACAATAATAGCTTGTTAATACCGAAAGAATCAAGCTGTGTTTTTAAGAAGAACATTAAGCAGCTGTTTCCAGATGAAGGGAGTCTGTAAATCAGAGTAAACTGTTTTTATCCATGTTTGACTTTGATTAACTAAATGTTTTATGGATATAAAGACTTTATGAACCTCACGTTTACTACAAAATTCAGCAAAAATAATGCTTTCATCCACTTTGTAACACAGATTGTAAACCTAAATTACAATACAAGCTTATGATATTTAATAATCAAAAACTGATTTTGGTTCTTGATTTACTTCTGAGTTAGAAGCCACACTGAAAGATGGCATAACTTTGTTAGAACTTTCCATTTTGTCTTTGCTCTATTTTTAAGCTCTACTGACTGCTGCCTAGTGGAGAAAACTGAAAATTCAGAATTGACTTGATTGAACAGCAGCATTGTGTTGTTACAACATAATTTTGTACTGAATGGTACAAACACAAACCTAGCCCCCAAATCACTGTGAAGAGTGGGACCTCAAGATAATATAAAAAAATCCAAATTTTCAGTCCCTCATATTTTTGCATCTGCTTCCATACAAATTTTCCTCCAAGACTTCTAAGATCTTCACTTGAAAGACTAAACAATAGAAGGAATATGAAAGCAGAATGCAGTAGTACCACAAGGCTATCACATTTACAGGTGCTATAAACTAGCTTGATTTGGGGCTCACTTGAGTTTCACAGGGCTTTCAATTAGTAGCTTGATTACAGCACTGCAGAATGATCTGCCCAAATATCAGATTATTGACAGGGATTTCATCATTCAGAATCTGGGAGGGTACTGACAAAAGAAAATATTAAGAGCATTTTTAATGTTTTCTATAAACATTCAGTCACATTCAATATCAAGGAGAGGATATGAAGCTGTCCCTCATACCCAATCAAAGCTAGTTTGAACAGGGCTTTCTGTAAGGTCAAAATGTGGGGAAACTACTCAGAGGGCACTTACTGAGAAAGGTGGATTTTTTTGCTTTGTTCAGAGTTTTCAAACTAATAAAAAGATTACCCTTGGATAATTACATGGATTAACAGAAAATATTTGTGAGGGGTAGGACAGGTGTATTTCACATATACAAACATGCACATGTGCATACATATGAGTATGTCTATCTACAGTTGCCCACATGGTCAAATATAATACAAAGTGACTGTGACTTCACAATTTTCTCCATTTCTGGGGTAATGATGTGTCAAGCCACGAGCAGACTACTAAAAATATCCTTATATGCTTAGCATTAAAGGCATTAATTCAGCTATGCAGCTCCAAGTTTGGCACCCATTCACACATAGGCAGAGCTGCAGAAACATGCACTCTGGCTTGATGAAAGGATAAAGAATGTAAATGGTTGCTACTTCCTTACACAAATTACACAGCATTATTTCAGCAATTGCAGGAATTCTCTGTGTTGAATACTGGGATAAGAGGATATTTCTAGTCCGTGATATCAACTCAAAAGATCTGCAACAAATGCAAAAAAACCCCATGTACTTGCTCTCTCAAAGGACATGGCAGAACATGCAGATGCTTCTCTAAAGGGCAGGAGAGAGCAGTTCCTGGGTAGGTGGTGCTCAGCACTGACATAATGCGATCTACAAGCAGATTTGGTCCTGTGTGCTCCTTCTCACCCCCTTTCACGAGGAGCCCATAGTGCAGGAGGCACCTACAAAGCCATTTCTGCAGAACAGGAAGCTCATTTTCCCTGCACATGCCACAGCTGAATACAAGATGGGTTCAATGGCTATTAGGTTGTTAAAACGATGGCAAGAAACTCATAATGAAGCTTATGCTGCAGATAAAAGCTCCTTTCAGGCAAACCTGCTAATCTTCACCCTAAATACATTTTGCAATATGCTCTGTAGCATGCAAATTTCTATCCAAAAATATCCTAAGAAATCCTCTGCTCTCACTGCAGTTCTCCAGCTGGGCAGAGTAGCTTGCATGCTGTGCTGAGCTCCCTAGCATGGACTCGCAGGAGTCTCTGGAAATTCAAACTACACTAGCATTTATGTATCCTACAGGAACAAGGCAAATGGGGATGATAATCTGGAAGACTGTCTAAAGAACTTGACTCCTGAAGCTCCCAGTGAAGTACATTCATTTAAAATCTACATCAAATTAAAAACCAGAGGTAAATAAATTATCCTTCTGCCTGGTAGCTTCCTAGAAGGCAGTCAGGATTTCCTTCCAAGCAGCAATAATTTTGGCATGTTGAAGAATTGATTTTTTTATTCCTGCTTGTGCCACAGGGCTTCTTTATAGTGCCGGGGAACATTTCATACTTGGTCACTAATGAAACTTTCAGTTTAATGCCCACTGAGGCTAGAAGTGCTGACCCAGAGTTGAGGTCAGCTAAAAAAGCTCTTGGAGAACAGAATATACTCTTGCAATATGAAATGTTTTAATGAAAGTAAAAATAAATCATGTCCAGGGCTTAAAATTAGCCATTTGATAACAGTGGGCATATCTGTCTCCACAAGTCTCATCAGCAATAACTATCTCTGCACCTCACCTCTCTATGTATAAAGTTAGGATAATGACACATTTTTATCATTGTGATGTTAAATTCAGTATTATTTGAGAAGCACACAAATGTTACAGTTGAGAGCATGACAGATAAGCAAGCATGTGATACAAAATAATAATTTTTTATTCAATGCAAGGTTTCAATGGTATGAATTTAATAAGACCTGGCACCACACAGAGAATAAAGAAGATAAAAAGAAATGTTTAATAGCTCCATGAAGAAGAGATCCTCTATGTGACCAGATAATTACAGCTATATTTTAATATGTATACACAAGAGGAATAAATTTAAGTGGCAATAAAAACCTAACTTTTGACATTCCTCTTCTTATTTTTTAACACTGACATTGTAAACCTGACCTTCTTTTTAAAGTATGTGTGTATATGTATGTGCATATTTTAAAATTGCAACACTGCCACAGGGAAAGATTTCCAAAAATTTAAACTCAAATTAGAAAAAAATAAAGAGAAAGCAAAACCAAAACAATCCCATAAAGGATAGAAGAAAGTGGTGTTAATTTACTGAGAGTCAGGATGCCAGAATGTCAGTAACCAAGGACATGCCTTGGCATTCACCCTTTGAACTGCATAAAGCCAACACAAAGGGACTTACGACTCTCATGGCACTTCTGTCCTTTTGTATGATACACTATCTATCCATTTTATGTTAATAGTGTGGACTTTATTCTCTGGATGGAGTGGGTTTTTTTCCTAGAGACTATGGTTAATTAATTGGTTTTGTTCTGGTTGCTGGATAGTTTCCAATTAGCTGCTTCAGAGATCCTTCTTTGTATCTTTCTTCCCCTGGGCAATTCCAAAATGCCTCTACAGAGGTCTCTGTGCTTGTCAGGTGGCACAGGGTCACTGCTTTGAGGGATCTTCCCAGTGAGCTGGTATTCATAGCATTTTCAACAATTTGTCTTTACAGTACCATTTCTTCACTCATTGTTCAGTAGTGGCACCAGGAAATTCTTTTAGAGGAATATATATAGCACACACATATGCATGCACAAATGCATATACATGCACACACATATAAATAAAATTAATATATATATAATATTATATAATATAATATAAATACTTAAAATATAATTACATTGGTTACATGGTATAAAACTGAATTCTGTTTATATTGGAGCTTCCTTTTGTAGTACATGCTAAAGCAAGGCCCAGCCTATGAATCTGTGTTTCTGATAGATGTCACACCCAAAAGAGGACTTGAAGGAGTACCACATGGATGTGATCCAGGTTTACAATTACTCTCTGCTAACATCCCAAGTTTCTACTATTGATCCATCTGCTTGGGCAAAAGGGTTTGCCACAAAGGTTAGTCAGCTTGTTCTGGAGGAATTGTACCTGAAACATTCAGCATTTTAAGAAAGCCAAGCTGCATGTTGACATCATTGATGGCAAAATGCAGTGACATATGCTCTAAATAATTTTCCATGAAAGACAAATTTTTGGGTTTCTCTATTTATTCTAATCTGTACCCTGACCACTGAAATCTGTCAGAACAAGGATGGTGCATAAGCCTCCGTAATAATGGCTGAGTTGTGCAGAAACAACAGTAATCCTTATAATACACAATCTATCATCACACTTCTTATCTCCTCTTGTGTAATCCCCTGCACACATTAAGCTCTTTGCAATATGACATGTAGAAGAAAAACCCTGAGTATTGTGAATGCCCCCTTAGCAGAATTCATCCTATAGAATACAACTGTTTTGATGTTGTGCAGGGCAGTTTTTCTCTCTCTTCCACTCGTGGTTCTTCTTCCTCTGGGCAGATGCCCCAAGAGCAAAGCACTCTCTTCTGGTGTGCAGAGCCCTGGGAATTCTCTCCTACTCTTACAAATCCTTTCCATCAAGCCTCAGGAAGGGAAACAGAGCAATTTGAAAACTAAACACTATATTAGAAATTCTACCCAGTAGTTTGACCCCTTAAATAGAAATGTTAAGCACTGCCCAAAAGACTCTGGTGTTCTCTAATGAAAGGATATCCACTCATTGTGGGTAAGGCTTGTGCTGCAAAACCAGATGATACACAGTGTGTCAGGCACTAGCACCACATGCTTCTGACTTCACTGCAAGTGCTCTGTAGGAGAGATATTTTTGATTTTTGGGTCACTAAATAATAGGGTATTGTCAGAGGTCACTAAGACTTGAAGCAGAAAGTACTTTTTCATACAGCAATTTCTTGTTGATATTTCACTTTATTTTTTGACATGCAGCATAATGAATCCACAGATCAATTATCCTTCGAGCATACACATTTTTATAACTTTTTCCTAGTCAGACAGCTAACTTGCTTCAAGCAGAAGACTGAAGATATTCAACCTGCCTGACCTGAAAAGAAAATGACCATATACATATACATACACACACACACACTGCTGTATGTTAGATTGTCAGAGCACTCACATTTCTTTGGAATCTTTTCTGGAGGGTAAAACTCTGAAGGGATAAATAGGTAAAACAGGCAGACTGAAAGTACTGTTAGGGTAACAACAGCAGAAGCTTTACCGTCCAGGTGACTTGCACTGTCGTGGGTGTCAGCACAACAGGATTATGCAGCCGTACAATGACATCTCCCAGCTCTTTCTGGACTTGCCTGTGATCCACACCTTGTGCTGGGGGGCTGATATCTGCCAGGAACATATAGGAAAGCATCACATTAATGAGTAGAGCTGTATATGACATCAATAAAATTTGCTGAGTAGCCTAATGACCTGACTTGAACATCTTTTATAGCACTGTTTAAAAAAAGAATACAACACTAAGGTTGAAACACAAACAAATATCAAATAATGCAAACAAACCATCCACCTCTAGCCACTTAGGAAATCATGAAATATTAATATGTTTAAAGGAGTATTCTGACAAGATAGCAAAGTTTTCTCAGCTCTGGTAAAGAATGAGAGAGATGCAATGCTCACTAGTTCCAAAGTATTCAGATAATAATAATGCTGCACAGATGTCTGGAACCAAACTGGTTAGCATAATTGAAGAAAATAAACAGTGTTTTTTTTATTTTGCTAGAGCACACATGACATTAAGTCATTATATGTTTCCAAACTTCCACTAGGCTTCCTCTGCCCACATGCCATGCACACAAGAAACCAAATACTAAAAATAGCATTTTCCCCTGCAAAGCACATTTTCCCTTAACAGACATAGCTAATGAAATCTAGTGCAAACATGAAAACAAAAAGATTTAATTTAGGAAGCCAAACTAATTCTCATCTAGTAAAAGGCCAACAAAAACAATCTACCACAAAAATTTTCTTTTCAAGATTATGTGCCCTTCAAAGTGTGTGGGGGAATTGTTTCTTCTAGTCAAAATCTGATTATAGAGATATTCAAAACAGGACTGATAAATTATGGTCATGCCTGTCTAGGCATCTCTGAATTCTGCTTGATTTTCCCTGAGGATTTAATAGTCAAAGACAGTTCCTCATTTTTTGGATCAACATCATGTCCTTTTGAAAAAGATATATACATAAGTGTTTCTTCCTTTTCTGATGGACTTAGATATGGGAATAGGAATCATGATTTCTTTTTATCTTCTAAATGCTATTTAAAAGAAATAATAGTTTTCTTAAGAATGAAACCTTTAAATATAACATTAATCATATATCTCCAGATATTGAAAGTTTTTAATGTTCAATAATTCACATTCATAATTCTATATTGTTATGGTTGAGTCACCAATAAACAATATTGCCACAGGCCTCTACTGATCTCCAAATTGAAATGGTTCCATGGATTTCCAAAGGGAATATAATCCAAATATGAGTGTCAGTGAAGGTGGTTATCTTGCAAATTACATTTTTTCAAAACAGCAAAGAAAGAGGGATGTTGTAAAATAAAACTGGGACTCAGACTGGTCTAGAGGATGATCATTTATGCATCTATCCACAAAAAAGCTATGATTCTTGGTACAAAAAATAAGCCTAGAGTTATCCATAGCTACATTTTAGGTTAACTTATGCTGTTATCCAGCCAACAAAGTACCTGTGTATTCCCTCTGAGGAAAGGACATTTCCACAAAGTAGTTTGTATGACCAGCATTCCATCATTTTAATGGCACATATGTCCAGAAGTAACAGCATAACATGGACTAATAACAGTAAAAAGTGAATGCCAAGATGTACACATGGAATTCAGTTTTCTGGTATGTACACTTGAAAACATGTGTGATGCTCCCAGTGTAATGTCACTTTCACATGTCTAGGAGGCTCCTGGTGGAAAAGCAGCTGATCTATCTCTAAGGGTATGATTAAGTATTGAAATAATAGAATCATGACTCAAGCAAAACTGCTGCCAGAAGCTACATCCTGATCACAATTAAACTGGTTAGGTATTTTCTCTAACACCTCTTTTATCAGCTTTCAGTGAATATACTATTATTTATAATTATTTAGATTTCAGGGGTAGGAATATATATAGTTTTTTGGAAGAGTTTTTTTAGTATATGGTTTCATCTACTAATAATCCAGAAAGAAATCAGCTTCTTCATTGGAGTAGTTACTGATTTCTCTGTCCTAATTTCACATAAGTCATATAAGGTAAATCTTTTGAAAGTACCTGATTACCTACTTGCAGTTCACTGGTGAAAATTTGCATGAAATCTTATTATTTGTATTTGCTATACTGAATACTAGGACATTAAATGTTCAGCTATTAAAGCTACCACAGACACCTGTTGCAAATTATTATTATATAGCACTGCTATAGCTACTTCTTTATTTCTCCATGGCCACTGTGAATAGGCTTTCCACTGTGTGTCAGCTTCTTCTGTGAGCCTGAATTGAATTCAGGCATAATTAGAAATCACATCAAAACATTATGTTAATTTTCAATTGATTTTATGATTTAATTCTATTAAACTGCAGGCTTGTAAAGAAGCTATAAATCCTGTACATGTCTCAGTGTGCTTGACTGCTAAACAGCTTCTGGAAATGGAAGCTGCAACACATGCTGTAGCTAATTAAAGGACATGTTTTTACTGAAATCAAATTGCTTGTCAGTATGTCAGATAAAAAGTCTATACTTGACACTCAAATGCCAAACAAAGTTGTTTTTTTTTTTTAGCTAGGTGATAAGTTATGCAGACTAAAAGGCTGTTTCAAGGAAATCATGAGTCACCCTATAATAATGGGAAAATAAGAAAGAAGGAAACTTGTGATACTCCATGGATAGTCAGGCCTTGAAATCCCTGCACAACTCACTCCTCCAGGTTTTGAGAAGGCAGCTCTGTTTTTCCTCTTCCAGACATAATTACTATTTTGAGGGTATAAGTATTCAGACAGATTTATTCAGGACTAGGCTGGGATGAGGGAAGCTGGATGGTTGTGTGATAAAGAAATACCACCCTACTCTTGTCTATCTCTTTCCATCCAGCAAAGGACCCAAACAACTTAAAACACACATGCTGGAGACTGATTTGGGATGTGCTCCCCATGGGCACCTTCAGACCATAGATAGAAGTCTCTGAATAACAATAAACAGAGACAGAGAATTTAATTATAAATTAACTGTGACAGAAGCTATTACTTTGGATTTGAAAAATCATGATTCCAAAGAATTACGAATTTCTGTATTACATGTTTAACATAGAACTACACTCTTGAATAAAGTACTCAAGCAATGTCTGGTCAAAACCAAAAAAAAAACCAAAATCCTGATGTGAAGGGAAATCTGTAGCAGTTATATTCAGTTAGAACTTGATGCAAAGTGAACAGACTTCAGTAGCTGATTCAGTAGCGAAGTAGGATCACAGCTACCAATCCTTTCACCACCCTACAAATGAGGGATATCACTTCATCCTTCTCTCTTTGTTTATGCAATGGATTAATACAAAGAAATCAGAAATGAAGTTATATAAATAGAATACCCATACCTTTCTCAGAAAAACTTCTATATATTCTTAGCATGCAGATGCCTTAATTTTCTGCCTAAATGTTGGCTCAGATTAATCAACACATGTTGTGCATTTCTTTTGATTAAAACTAATTCTAAACACGGTGTCTTGCCTGTTATAAACACTTGTTATCACAGTATATCCCTGCTAATGGAGAGGAAGAAGACATAGAGAGGAAAGATACTGAGGAGAGGAGGGTGTTCAGAGTGCTTGTGTAACTCACATTGCTTTCAATAGAAACTAGGGGCAAATCAAGTCTAAGTGAACTGCAAACCAAAAGGTCTACACTGTACAAAGGATTAAGGACTTAACCTTTCTCTCCTAAGCTCCAGACTGATGCAGCAAACCTGGACTACTTTCAACCTCATTGGTTAAGCTCAATTCATGATTCCTTCAGTGAGTGTGCTAAAGCCAAGCGGCCGGACTGACCTATCTGTCAGCCCACAGTTCCTTCTTTCTGTTTTAGCTCAAGCCCAGCAGCCTGGAAACTGCCCCTTACCTTGGGTTCGGACAGGGTCTGACATGGGGCTGGGGTCGCTCAGGCCCTGGGAGTTGATGGCTCTGACCATGAACAGGTAGATGGTGTTGGGGCGCAGGCCTCTCACAGTGTACAGGGTGCTCTTCACATGGTTGGCCACCGTCTGCCAGCTGTTGCTCACAGACTGACTGCAACCAGAACAGAGTGGAAGATTATAAACTGAGACAAGAGAAAAATAAAGATGTGAAAGGACCTATTTCGTAACCCTGGATCGACTCTAAGGGCAGCAAAAAGTATTAAAAGCAGGATGAAATTAAAAATATTTGTTTCAGTTAGTTCATCGAGACAGGCTAAAAATCATAATGCAGCTGTCGAAAGTATTTCTCTTTGCAATAAAAGCAAAAATTTTTGCTATTTCTCTAAAATACCTGCAAAAGGAAAGTGGAGAAAGCTGTAAAGTAAATTTGAATGATAAACAGGCTACTCTTGAACAAAAGCCTTAGAAAGGAAAGTTCTCTTGAAAGAATAATTTTCTATACTGTTAAGTAAACTATGTCAATAAACTGTCATTGGAAGAAAAGCATTCTCCTTGAACTAAATTCACACTCAAAGTTTAAAAAATAAATTTTGAAAACATGCTTTGAAATGGAGGAAAGTATATGAATATTTTTTTCTGTCACTACATTTTCAATTCAACATTATTATAATTAGATTGCAATCCACCATATGAAAAGATTTCAAATGTGATTGTTAAAACAGCTTTTAATGAAAATGGCTTTTTAAAAAGTTATTGATGGGATGCCATTAAAGCTTAGCTAGGTTGAAACATCAGAAAAGTTTAAAGAGAAAATTTTATTTTACTATGCTTTGTTGTACAGCATTCATAAAAAAAAAAAAAATCTTGAAATATATCAAAAGCAAAAAGTAAATGGAAAGCTACAATGTTTATGCTGTTTGAATCACTTCATTCATACAATGCATAGAGAGTAAGTTCCAGAACAAAACCAACAAACTGCAAATACTGTACTGTTCTTTACATACGTAACTTTTGAGCTAAAATTTGCATGCATATGATTACGAAAAATTCTTGCATGAATTATAACTTAGAGATGAACTTAGAGTATTTGTAATTTTTTTAATATCTGGATCAAGAAACACATTTAGAAGGTGAAGACTTTTAAGCTGAAATGTAGAGATACACATCAGAGCACGGCACATGCTCAAACAAACTTGCTGAATTGGAGCCCAGGAGTTCTTTTGTACCACACAGAACTGCTGCTGTGTGGAGGGGGGCACCTGGATTCTTTGCAGCCTCAGGCTGCAGGATAGAATCCTAAATCATCAATACCAGTCTTTTCAGTTAGAAGTTTTCACCTATCTAAAACATTAAAAATTAGAAATTTTAAGCCCTTTGACTCCTTAATTGATACTTCTTTAACAAGAGCAAGAATTAAATTTTGCACAGAGGTTTCAGGATTACCAATTTATTTCCAAATTATCTGTACTATGATAGCCAAGAACCTGCAGCATTCCCACAGTAGACTCTCACTGATCATCAATGTTAAGGGAAAAGTGACAAATAATTACCTCATTGTTCTGTTATATTCCTGTTGACCTGAAGAAATAGTTAGATGTCCTCCAATTAATCACTTAGAAAAAAGTGATAAATTATAAAGAATCAATGTAAAGAATATGAATCAATGCCTTCTATGGAGATGAGTCATTTAATGAGCTTATAATAATACGTGTAGAATCCAAAAGAACACCACAAAACCCTGGTACCAGGGTTTAAGCAAAATTAGAAAGAAAGGAGCTTAAAAGTGGTATAATTCACATACCTAAAAGCCTCAATGATATATGCACTAGCTGGTAGGCTTCCAGGGGTCCCTGGCTGCCAGGACAGGGTGACACTGTTCTTAGTAACATCAGTGACCTGAGGTTTGGATGGTGGCCCAGGGAGGTCATTTATATCATAATTTTTACTGACTGTTGCTCCACCAGATTCTGTGAAGGGCAAATACAAAACGATTACTTTTTATCCTTTGTTATATAATTTGATCAAAGCAGAAGATTAAAATGAAAAACATGGCAAACATCTGCAAAATCAGCACAACGGATGTTCTTAATCTATAAAGAAGTCAACAGCTGCATTACTACCATGTGTTTTTGGATGAAGAGCTTCTTTAAGTATATCATGAAAGAAAAAAAAATGCAAAACTCAAAAGGGTGTATATAAATATATTAAAGAAAGAATAACAAAAAGCCCAGCTTGCTGAAATGTACATAAAATACTAAAAATTCCATTGCTGAGAAAGTTCCTGTATCCAAATTGACTGCAGTACTCACAGAGAGCACCTTGGACTTTTTTTGCCTAGAGTCAATTGCTGGATAAATCTACATTTTATTAATATTCCTGTTAGAAGAATTAAAGCATACTGCAGTCACTGGACACACACATGAAAATTGTTACGATGTAAATGGGCATTATAAGACAATAGCAATTAAATTCTAGCTGTGTGAAGGAAAATAGCCTTCTCACTCAAAAGTTTTCCCTGTCAAGCCCAGAAGTTGTAGAACAGATGATTTGACTGAGAGTGCTGTCCTATGGGTTACACCTTCCTCATGTGCCCACATGCTTGGCATTGCTTACCTGTCACCTCCAGCACAGCACTCCAGGACGTCTCCCCACTGGAACTCGTAGCAACGCAAGTGTAAGTCCCTGTATCAGACAGCTGGACATAAAAGGGGCATAAGGGTAGCTTTAATAACCTTTTAGAATCAGCTGAGTTTACTCTTATTTTCTTTTTCTAAATGTTCCTTGCTAAGAAGGACTTAGCCTACATTTTACACGAGGCTACAAGGCACCAAATATTTTCAATCAATCATTTAATGGTGGCTTTCCTTTAGAGAACTTTAATAAGATTATTTGCTTATAATATTTTACTAATTCTAATTTTCATATTGTTAATGGAATCAGTACTGTAAATGCTCCAGAATGGATGCTTTTGACAGAGTCCATGTTTGCATTGGTTAAAACAAATGCAGGTGAAATCAGGTAACAATATAACAGTAATTAATCTCTTAGAGGGTAAAATCACAGCATTCATTATCCCAAGAGGACTCAGAGGCCCCATTTCCAGTGCCAGGAAGGATGTTACATCATCTTAGACTCTTATGAAGTAATGAAGTCATTTCTATATACCCCACATACAAATTCTGCTGAAACTTAACAGTGGTTCTCTCTATACAGACAGTCCTCCAAGCAATTTTCAAACAGAAGCATTAAATTAGATCCTACACCATGCTTATCTCCCTTCCATTTCACGTGGGATTTTATTTCAGGCTTGCAAGGCCCTTTGGTAGCAAAAAAATTGCATTTGTATAAAATTATTGTGATTCCCTTGCCAGTTCAAATATTTTAAACTTATTTTGGGAAACTGCTTTGAATTAGATTGCCAATATTAATCTCATCTCTGTATAAACTGTCAAATGAGCAAATTTGCCAAGGGTTTTCCTATTTCCTACTTAAATTTAAAATAAAGATTTCTGAGTCAGGAAGAAGTGAAGACTACAGGGATGGATGGAAAATGGTAACTTTACAAAGCACAAAACAGAGCCCTCCTTCCACAATGCATAAAGCATGGTAATCTGGAGGTGGAAGCAGAAAAGGAAAAGTGCTGACTCCAGCGATTAAGAAGAATTTTATTCACCATCACATGACCTGATGGAAAGAGAACTGCATCCAAGAAGCTTTATTGGACTTTAAGGAATTGTAATGGGTTTTCTGTTAAATGCAGATTGGCACTGCAGCATATGTCCTTATATGTCACTCTTCAAGATGAATGTCAAGGCAAAAAAGCAAGATGTTCCTTAGATAACTTGTAGATATGTACTTTAATTGATTTTTAGCTTTGTCATGTACGAATTGTGTTGCTATTTTCCTTCAGATACACTGAGACTGCAGTGTACCATTCTTAGGTGAGGAAGCAACTCATTAATGCCAACTCAATTTTCTGAATGAGCATAACTTGCATTTCAGGAGATGGTTATTTGTGTGAAAAACAAGCAATAATGAAAACCCCTCTGACAATGGCTCAAAGACTCAAAATATAGCAGTACTGCTACTGAAATGAGAGACTCTTGAAAGAAGAGATTTTCCAGAGAAGAGAGCCTTATAGCATTCTGAAGCAGTGTTTTATTTTGCTTCCTTTGAGATTTTATTAAATATATAATTCTTCATTATGTGATAATGGGGAATATTTCTCAAGGCTATGGTTCTCAACTTCATTTGTGTACTACTGTGACAGATGGTGCATGGCATACTCAATGAAGTACGTGGTGTACACAACAGAGTAACTTGCAGAAGGCAAATAACATACAAAGCAAACTGGAAGTACACTGCTTCTTGCAAACTATGGCAAATTATCTAACTTTCAGGTCGTGGATGGATTAGATACAGATTTAGTGTGTTGATAATTCAATTATTTATACTTTTTTTTGTGCTATGGAAAAAAAATACCAAAAACCAGGGGAGGTGAATAGAAAAATCTTTACTATTCAATAAAATAAGGTTTTGCTTCTTAGTTAATGCAGGTGTCTAATCCTGGTGTGGCACATTTATATAGCAGAAGGGAGTTTTCCATCAGTGTTGGCCTGTCTGAAGGAGTACTGAATGAGTGACATATGTGGGATTTTAGTTGTCTTCCTCAGGGCAACCAAGAGATTGGCTTAACAGAAAAATCTCTATGTTTATGTTACAACTGTGGCCCATGTGACTGTTGAAGGCTCATGAATCATTTGATTGTGCTGTACCAGAAATAGCAGAAAAGGATCAGAGAATGTTTTGTGTTGGAAGGGACCTTAATTATCCTCTCATTCCAACCCCCCTGCCATGGTTGCTCAGAGTTCCTAAACTTTCTGCACCCAAACCAGGTTTCTCAAAGTCCCATCCAAACTGGCCTTGAACTGGGATGGGGAATCCACAAATTCTCTGGGAAACCTGTTCCAGCGCCTCACCACCTTCACAGGGAAGATTTCTTCCTGACATCGAATCTAAATCTATTCTCAGTCAGAAGGCTGAGGACATGTGAGTGGCAGGTATTAATTTATTTTGAACTTGGGGATGTAAACATACTTGGACATTTTTCTGGCCTTTTTTTTCTTTAGAAGTCAGGCTAGTCCTTGTTTAGGCAGACCTGAGAGAAAAGTTAATTTCCTCATTTTAATATCCCGTGTTTAATTCATAAAATTTGCAAGGTACAGGAGAAAAACTGTTTATGGTTCTGTATAGTTTTTTTTCTTAAATCTGAGTCAAACAAACAGTGCATATTACTGCTATAGAGACGTTCCTAGAAATACCTTTCTGAGCCATTAAATTGGTTACTAGTGAATGAGCCACTTAAGGATCAATAAAAGCCTCATGTCTTTCAGAACCACACTCACTACTAATACTGTTTTCTTCTCCTCCTGCAAGTAATTTTATTTTCCTTTAGTTTACAGACACAGCCTCTAACAGGGAGATTAATGCGCTGGCACGATTCAGAACCGATTTCATTGTTTGCATAGCAGCATGCAGACAGGTATCCCAAGAGCTTCTGCCTCGTGGACACTCCACAGAAGCCCATCATCAGTGCCTGAAAGTTTGTTTGAAATCACTAAGCTTCCACCTTTAATTGCTGCTTTCTAACACTACTGGGGAATCTTGACTATTCAAGCGCACTCTTTAATCCAGCTCTACAGGAAAAATGCATTAACCTTCATGGCCTAAACCTGCCTTCAGCCCAGGGAGGAAGGACAAATTGTTTACTCAAGGCAAGCTAGCATAAATTTTTTAATAAATTCTATTTTGTTCCAAGGAAGTTCACAATTCATCTACAATCATGGATGAGATGGTATCAGAAAATAAAACTGCTCTTTGTTTCTTGTCATTAGTACTATGTTTACTGACATCTTTTTGGATGGCAAAATTAAGTGCAGACATTTCTGCTGACTAAATTAAATGGTTTCTGAAATGATCTTCAAGTCCTTGACAAATAAGTACATTTAACTTACTATTTTTCCTTGTGCATACTTGTCCAAATGCACACAAATACACATTTATCTTTGAAGAGAGAAAAAATTAAAAGCCAAAAAAGAGATTAGTGATGCAATATTTATCAAAAACATAGGACATTATCCTATTTGAAGTATTATAGAATACTGTATTATCTCATGTGAAAAAATGTAAATATTACAGTAGGTATTTAATTTTAATAGAAATCCCTCTGCTCTGACTGCATGAATGCTACAGTATTAGCTGTCTTTTCCCATATGCAGCCTGGTGGAACATTTCCAGGAAGCATAACACTGGAATAAATCAGCCAGCTCGGGACTGACGAGTTGTTAATGGAGAAAGCACATGGTCAAACCCTGATGAGCTCCAGATCACGTGCTAGCACAAGTACTTGGAAAATTATGGTCAGGTGTTGCCAAGGAACTGCTCTAAGTTTTGACAGAGAGGCCAATGTCTTCAGGGTAAGACCAACTGAAAAGATAAGGAAGGACTGTTCACTTATATTTCTATCTACCCCTAATTCATGTGTCCGGTTGCAACATACGTAAGATTATAAACACCGATTCTGTTTTTAGGGTATTCTCATAGAAATATCTGAAGTCAGTTTTGCTTTTCCTTCCTACACAATGTCAAAGAATGGATAATGCTTTGGTGAGAACTGCACAGTAAAAAAGACAAGTTAATTTTGAAGAGAACAGGAAGGCGGCAGAGCTGCCTGAGGCACCCAGCAAGAGTTCCAAGCTGGCCACGCAGAACCCGCCACGCTCGTTGTGCTGCCACTACTCACCCGCAAAGCTTTGATCTGCAGCGTCCCCTGGTCCTGTATGGATGTCCGAGGGTCCCGGCCCAGGAAGGTGAACCCTTCCTTCAGCCAGCTGATGACAGGGAGGGGGTCGCCAGTGGCCTTGCACTTGAGCAGAGCTGTGCCATCCACTGCCAGGGTCTGGTTGACGGGGCCCTGGAGGATGATGGGCGGAGGCCGATCTGTCAAGACTAAAACAGTGGCACAGGCGTTGGCATCCACACCTTTAACCATCCTCTGCTGCTGCTGTAAGCCCTATTCTGCCATGCAGGACAAGTTTTAAGAAGCTGCTTGAAGTCAGCCTCTAAGAGGCTAAAAACATTATTTTTGGAGGAGCCATAGATAGAGGTTATCAATTAGCTGGCATATTTGAAAAGCATTTCAGTAAGCATTTTACTTCACCACTGAAAGATAACACGTAGATAGAAAAATATCTGTTAGCAAAGCTCATCAGGCTCATTTGGTTAACATAGGATGAAAACTAAGACCTTGATTCAGAGAAGAATTGAAGTGCGTCACTCTTCCAGTTTGGGAAAGCACTTAAATCACACCTTAGATGTCACATATGTGTTTAACCCAATTTATGGTCTAAAAGAGAAAACCTGTTGACTTAAAAGTGAAACACTACAGCTATTCTAGTTTGGGTACCAGCCACATCCCCCCTTCCTACTCTTTTTGCAAGTTTTCACCAGCAAGAATATCTAATAGTTACACAAAACATTTTCATAATCTGAGTGATCTAAATGATGGTGCCTCTCTTTCCAGCAGAGAAAAGCTCAAACTCAATCACACCATTTAACAGCTTACTTATCAAATAATTTCATCACCTATTAAAGCCATGAACTCCTATTTTTTTTCCCTGATAATTTACATCTGCATGCTTGCAGTATTGAATAAAGGACCCTGCAACGAGTGAAGAGAGTGCATGGTTGCTCATGAGCCTCATTTCATGACCAGTAGGATACCTTGAAGATGAGATAAAATGCTCATGTTCATATTTCTTGAAAGATTATTTTATCCCAAATAATTATGTTGTTGAACATTTTCTCTGGGCCATCTGTTAAGCTACAAAATATAACCTTTGTTTCTAAATAATGTCTTTATACAAACTGAATGTGAAATACTTGAATATACATAAGGCTAGGACTGCTGCAAAAAAATGAGTATAAGAACTGAGAATTCTTTTTACTTTTAATGTACTTTTATGTATTTACCATCCATACTGCTGCTGTTTTAAATTTTGAACAACTGAACAATTGTGTGACTGGTATTAAATATTGTAGCAGGGAGGATTAACTTCTAAACTGGTGCAAATTAGCCTGCCTCTGGTGATGCCATTTGAGTTTGAATAATTTATCCTATCTGAGAATCTGTTTATTTTAGTCCATACACAACACCTGACTCAATGAAGTAAAAACAAATTATTTTGAAGCAATATGTCTTCTGTTGTATTTGAGCTGTTTGAGATGCAAACTTCCGGAACCTTCAACAGATCCAAAGTGCTTTCATCATGCTATTTCATAAATAAAACATATCAGGGATATGTTATTGGCACATTTAATGCCTAAAATAATTGTTTTTGAAATTTTAATGTTGCAATAATACTACCTACCTTCTTTTGTTAACAAAATTCACACATATCAGAATCATTACTATTGCCAGAATCACACCTTGGAGTGTGAGCTCATCACATTCATTGAAATTGAAACTGAAAATAGAAAGCCAATACATATTTTGAACTGAAAATATAAAGCCAATGGAGATTATTTCGTAACACCAGAATGCGAAAGCTGTTTTGGAAATTCTGAAATATCACCCACTGAACTTAAGAGATGGGACAGGAAACACTATATAACAAGAAAAATGTAATGCATTTTTACCTTGATACAAAATGTTTGATCTCATTAAGGTTCCTTATGACTACATAATTCAGCCATTTGGTGAAATAAAAATTGATCTCAGCTCACATGTACTATCAGGGCAGCTGCACCATGAGTGTATTCAAATTAAAACTTAGCTGTGCAAGTTATCCTTTAGATTAAATGTAAACCAGCAAATCCCGGCATCCTAAGCAGCTAAAAATTAAGGAAGAATACCTATTTAAGTTGCAAGCTATTTCGTTGCAGTTATTTGCTTCATCTAAATGTCTTTCATATGTGTAGCAATGTAGGTATTTTCAAACCTACTGCATTACAGATATTGTTCTTTGGCATGTAATTAGATTTTTTTTTACAGCCCAAATGAGGAGCTCATAATCCTTTAAATAGCTCTGATCAATAGTGTAATTGAAAGCCTCCTGGCCAGAAGGAATCTTCATTTTCAAGGGTGTTATGGGTGAAAGACCACTACAGGTTTCCATGACACTAAGGCTAAAGGTTAAATGAACACTTAGAGTTTCCACTGATCTGTGAACGGCTGTATTGTCTTCACAACTATGACTTGTAAATCTTCTCTAAAACATGTGTGTGCTTGCATTCCTACTACTCAGGTCCTCATGAGTAAGGATCCAAAACTTGGTTACAGTTTAAAATTACTTATATATATATATAAGAAGTATTATGAAGAATTCAGTGAAAAATAGCCACAAAATGGTGTGGAGATTGTTAGTTGTTTTTAAAATATTTTAATTACTTTGTTTCTTTTCATTTTCATAGTTTTCTCCTAGCTGGAAACTTTTGTATCTTTTCCACAAAAACATTTTTGGCAAACATATTTGCATGGCAAAAACATATTTGCATGGCAAAAACATATTTGCATGGCAAAACAGAAGTTGATTTCAAAATTAATTTTAAAAATGGTTTTGAAACTATCTGCCAATATCCATACATCTGCATATTCTGGTAACTGAAAAAATAACAGATTCCTTTCGTGTTAAAATGCATCATAATTTTTGAATAGAGTATAGGAAAACAACAAATTGCATTTGTTCATGAACAGTTTATTCACTAAAAATTCAGTTTGGATCAACTGAAACCATTTTTAAATTTGGGCGATATGTGGTCAAATTACAATGGAAATTAAAATAAGAGAAAGACAAAATGAAGTGTTTACTTTGGCACATCCAAAATCAAAATTTAAAAAAAAAAAAAAAAAAAAAAATTCCTGGCGAAATAATGGGTAGAATCAGACAAAAAAGTAAGGAAATTCACATGATGAGGAGGGTTCTCTCTGAAAGGTGGAAAAGCAGAGACCAGTCCCTTATCTGTCTTTTATTTTTTTTGCGGAAGAGCTTCACAGGAAGCTGTGAAGTTGTTCTGAGTTTCTCCTCCTTGAAACCATTGCTCTTGCTATAAAACATGTAATATACTTTGGCTGAGGGCTAAGAGTCGTGGTGGTCAGATTTGTAGACAAGTAAACTGTGAAACATTTATTAATAAATTTTAATTATTATTGAGGAGAAATTAAGATCTTCTCCAAACTATTCTGTACATGATTGACAAATACTAACACAATACTAATTGGAAACTATTCCTTTCGTGTTGAGCATAGAAAGAGATGGAAGCACTTGGTTTTTTTGCATGATCTGTCATTTTAAGATTGTGAGCTGCATATTCATTTCTTGGGTTTGAAAGGATTGCTAAGATTCTTCAATTTTTAAAGTTATTTTGCTTTTCCAGATGTGTGTTAGACAGTGAATTACATGATAGCCTTTCAAGAAAATACAAGATTTGAATTTCAAATACGCTCAAGGCTCTTAGCACAGTCCATAATCAGCAAAATTATCACTCAACTCAGCACATTTCATCACAGCTAGTAATCTCTTCTCATGTGAACACTTGAGTTAAAAATATTTCCAGTAAAGACTTGTAAGTGCAAAAATGTAACAACTGAAACACTGCTATATATGGTATAATTAAGCACTTGTTTTTCTGCACATGACATGTTTTCATTCTGTATTGGAACTTCAATTGGATCTAAATTACTCTGGATCAAACAAAAATGTGTTCAAAATGAACAAGATGGCTCGCCACTGTTATTAAATCATTAACCAAACAGAAAAATTCTGGGCTAGGAAGTAAAACTGAAATCACCAGCCAAAAACTAGAACACTAATGCTTAAGCATATAGCTAGCATGCACAGTGTTTGTCTTTTATTATATCCTTAAAACTATTAAATCAGATTTCCCTACTGATAAAAGTCATTAGCTCCCATAACTTCTGCTCAGCATCAACCAAAACAGATTATTTCGACATTTATGGTTAACTTCCTAACTAAAAGCAATTAAAAAAATATCTGTGATCTAATGGTAGACTTATCCACGTAATCTCAGCTCCACAATGTTGTTTTGGCACTTTTCTTCTGACCTCACCCGCCCTTTGACTCTGGGATGAAATGCTATTTCTGTAAAGCAATCTTGTATTATTTCATAATGATCATGCTGACAGTGGGTTCTGGAAAGCATTTGAGGAAGCAGGCCCTGCACTCCTTGAGCAGCAGAGCTACCAGCTAATGCTCTCTCAAGCTATGTGGAATGCACACCGCCTTTAATCAGAATTAACCGGAGATGAGCTTGCATTTCAGCAGGGACACTTCCCCCCAGCTTGCTAAACAAACTAATGAAAATTCTGAAGAGATCAATTAGGATTTATTTTTTTCCCTACACAAGAAATAGATAAAGGTGGACCAAAGCCCTTGGCTGTCAAAAGGAGGAATTTCTCATCAGTAGCATCCTTGAACCTGATTTGATCCACTCAGTGCCTGTTGCTGTAAATCTGTGCAGCATCAGCAGGTGTGACCATTAAACAGCTCAATGTCCTCCCAGCCAATGTTTGTGCGTTCTATTTATTCCAATCACAGCCATGGCCCTGAATCAGGCAGCACTATGGACAGATATTAAAAAATATTGCCTTTCCATTTCTTTTAAATGACCTTTTAATCTACATTTAAATTTGAATTGAATGAAAATGCATCATTTTGTCATAGACCGTGAGAGAAAGGACTCAGAGATTGCAGAGCAAAGCCAAGTCTTTAATCTCCAGAAACTACAGAAAAGCAATGCGCTATAAGAGATGCAAGAATAAGGCAGAAACTATTTCCCCTTGTCATAAAAATATAGGCAGCTTTTGGAAAACAAAGAAAAGGCATCAAATTAATGCTCAAACCTCTATAACACGAGCCTGAACCTCTCTACCTGTCACTTGTGATGAATATGCTCTTGTGAAAAGGCAGATTATTCAAAATTAGACATCTTTTCAAACTTTCATGGTGCAGTCAGGTCTCTAAGGGAACAGTAAAAGTAGACCTCTGCATATAACAACAGTTTTAATGGCAAAAATTCATCAAAGTCTGTCAGGAGATATTTAATGTGTCAGTTAAGATAAGGAATAATGATGCTGGGGAATGCCACTGTCTCTTAGAGGGATTCTCTTGTTTTCTTCACTAACATTAAAGGATGCAAACTTCCTTCTATCCACAATAGTCTGAAGAGGGATATCAACAGGATTCCTGACATATGAAAAGGATTCATCTTTGTAGATGGGAAACCTCAAGGTAGGATGAATCTCAAACCCAAAAATTTGAAATGAAAAGCATCAAGACAGGCCATGTAATTCTTTTCCTGTCCTGAAAACTCTTCTCCACCTATGGATTTTCATAACTTTTTTCACACCTACCCCTACTGAGGCATTCCTAGAACACATAAAGCCCACTAAAGGGCTTCATGTTGTAGGCATTCTAAAAGCTACAGTACTCCACCACCTTCAGAGCAATGGTGTTGATTTAATTGAGCTAAGGACACATCCCCTACTTGTCTAAGATAGGACTGAAGACTGGTGGGAACTGAGATACATTTTTTTTGCACCCCAGTTCACCGCTTTAATCACAAACCTATTCATTCTCTGTATTTTTCTTTTTTGCAGTCCTACCTTAGCTCTAGCAAACCAAGCAGCTTCATTTCTCACCAAACCTATTCTAAGCTGTTTTTCCTCTTTATCCATTGTTAACAAACCTCCAGAAAGCAAGCAAGAGGCAAACTAGTCTTTGATGCCTTTTTTACTCCATAGACAAATACAGAGGTCTTTTCTCACTTTATTTCCTATAGAAAATTTTCCATTTACTTGTATGATTTATGTGATCTCATACGCCTTTATTTACACTGCTTTTAAAGTACTTTTGACAGGAAAAAAAAACAATAGGAATTTCTAACAGCTCACCATCAGTAACCTCCAGCTGAGCCTTTGCTAAAATGCTTCCAGCAACCGTCAGTGCTTGACAAATGTAGTAGCCTGCATCAGACCTCTGGATGTTGGTAATGGTGAGGTCCCCGGTCGGTGACACGGAATATCTGCTGTTGGGCTGCAGAGGCTGGTTGGGGAAGAGTAGGTTCTGCAAAGACAATTCATCTCACATCAATTCAAAACACAAAAGCACCGCTTTTCCTTCAGCTACCAGGACAATGGTTTTTCCTTAAAAGTACTATAAATAATCAAGGAGAAAAAGCAAGTGTGGTTCTGACTTTATGAACACATAGAGCTGCTTTCCCTGCCGTGGGCAACTCACAGTTTAAATTAGAAACAGCCTTTTGACAGCTCACAGTGCTGTGTTCTGACTGGGGTTTAGGCGAGGAGACATTTTCCAACAATCACACTTGAGTGATTTATATTTGCGACACATTCGTCTTCATTCTGAATGCAATTGTAATAATATACTCGGCTATCAAACCAGAAGGACATAGCACTACAGCAAACACTAGGAAAATAGCAGCAAGCATTGAATCCTGGAGACTTGGGAGAGCAAGTGTGGTTCTGACTTTATGAACACATAGAGCTGCTTTCCCTGCCGTGGGCAACTCACAGTTTAAATTAGAAACAGCCTTTTGACAGCTCACAGTGCTGTGTTCTGACTGGGGTTTAGGCGAGGAGACATTTTCCAACAATCACACTTGAGTGATTTATATTTGCGACACATTCGTCTTCATTCTGAATGCAATTGTAATAATATACTCGGCTATCAAACCAGAAGGACATAGCACTACAGCAAACACTAGGAAAATAGCAGCAAGCATTGAATCCTGGAGACTTGGGAGAGCAGAGCACAAATGTTCAGAGGAAAGGAGAAAGTAAGAGCATGGCACATAAGTGAAGTCTGGAAGGAGGACAGGAGCATGACATAAAATAGGAGAAGCTGGCAGAGCATGAGAGTTTAAAGGAGAAGTAAAAGGAAATCAAAACTGTGATATAATAAAGGAGAAATTCAGCATAGAGCCTGGAGGGTGAAGAGAAAGGGTATTAATCTGATGTGGAAATCATCAGAGAGAAAAAAATTATTTCATGTAGGATAAGATATCAGTTAGCACAAAACAGGGAGATTAGTTTTTGCCTTTGGGCTGGATTGGAGAAAAGAGAGACGTCAATAATAATAACTGGAATGGCTCTAGTCGTCATTGCATATGATGAAGGACTGAATGAATCAATACTACAGACCAGAAAAGGTTTTAGTAGTGAGAGTTGTGTTTTCAAGGAAAAAGTTATACCCTCTGGCCCAGCTCTTGTGAATAAATAAGAACAGGAGAAGGAAGGCAATGTGAAGAGAAAGGTCAGTAGCATTGCACAATAAGACAGGAAGGAGAACAGCTTAAACAATAATTAAACAACAGTAATTGCAGTAAAATAGGGTCTGGGTTTTATGTCAACTCAACAAGACTCTATGAAAAATACAGTTGTTTGCATCAGGAATACTCCAAAACACTGTTACCATGCCATGATAAGTTTTCAGTCATTACTGCAGCTCTGTTTAGCTCTGCTGTGCTTTCTAAGATGATTCCCTACTAACTTTTCAGCTCATCTCTACTGACTAAAAATGAAATCTAGAAGTGCAGAGTATGGTATTAAATGAATTTTCTGCAGATCTGTTTCTTCTGAAGCAGCCCTTGATGGTTTACAGAAATTATTTGGAACTGATAAGCAACAAACTGCTTAAGAAACAACTAAGAATTTAAATAGGAAACAAATTCTATTTTTAAGTGAAACTCATGCCTTTATCTCTATGGTTTTGGAAGCAAAAGGAAAGAGATATGCTTTAAACAATATCCCATGTTCCAAGTATCTTTTTAATTGTATTAACTTACTGGATTACTCATCACACTAGGTTTTTCTTTCACTGCCTTTCAATAGCAATATTTAAGAAATTTATAATAGCAATTTTTTTCTCAAAAATCAATATTTACCCAATAAACATGCCAGATAATAGGAAAAATAATGTTAAAATTCTGAAACAATTTGAGGCCCTGTTTTCTGAACTGCCTTGAAACTTCCAGAATTATATCTGCCTGGCACAAGATACCTACTGGATAAGGATATTATGAAAATTTCAGTAAATATGAGAAAGACGAGGAATTTGACATGGCTGACTTACTCATTATGTAAAGTGTAAAAAGACGCTGAATGTAAAAGACAGTGCAAGGATTAAGCCCCTAATTCTTAAGAGAAAAACAGTCCAAAACCCTCTTTATCACTTCACTAGAAAGGGGAATCAATCCTTGTTTTTGTCTTCAGTATAAGCTTCTCTATTCTGGGAAGGTATCGTGTCCCAGTGAATATTGCACACATCAGAAGGAGTTAATCAGTCTCATAACTCCTCCCTTCAAACACCAGATAACTATGAACTATAACTTGTCCTAAGTTACAGTACAACCCCCTTTAAATGCTTTTCAGCATTACACTGGTTTTAATTTGCTGTCGGGTTGCTCATCTGGGCACAATGGTGGCATGCTGGGCTGTAAACAGAGGGACCAGACCAATCCCTGATATAGTACCACTGAATTTATCTGAAGGAAGAATTTAATCCATGGAGGCTGAAGGTTACACACGCCCTGCCCTCGCATGTCATCGGTGAGCGGCTGTTGGGCTCTGGGGAAAAGGCTACTAAGCACAAAGGACCAGCTGTTTATACACAAGCTGGCACAAAAAATTACTCAGGAGGGAACAGCTCCCCTCCCTTCCACCTGGTTGTGCTCTAAAATGCAGCATCGAGAAACGGATTCAGAACCAAAAATGCCCTACAATTACTGGGGTGGGATAACATGACTATATAACATTGCTTTGAACACTGGAAGTGGCGCTGCAAACAGTTCCCCTAAAAGCAGAAACAGCATTGTGGAGACAAGCAACAATTTATAGCTGGGAGGCTATAATTCCACTCTCCATTGCTATGATGATATACACTGTGTGGAAACTAACACACTCTGTGGCATCTCACAGCAAAATCTGGCAAGTTATACACTGAGATGGCAATCCCAACCTGTGTTACTTCACTGATGATCAATTAAGATAACATGAGAATGTTGTAAACCACATTGAGCCATGTTTCAAGGTTTGATTATAAACCATGCAAGTATCAATTTTTATGTTGTATTTATTTGCCAAAAAAGACTATTCTAACCCTTAGGGATCTGGTTCTCAATATGGTAATTAATTTTCCAGGTTTGCAATTAAGCAGCTTCAACATAGTACAATCAGTAGGTAATAACATTCAATTAAAGACACAAGATGCATTTTCACCTTAAAATGTTTTTACCCTTGAAGTGATACCAATGGAAGAGGATAAAATAGAGTATTAACACTTTTCAATTACGCTAAATGACTTTAATCCTGAAAATGATGTCCTACTTTAATTAGAAGCTCTTCTCTTTATTACAGCATGATGGATGTCCACTTTATTAGATTCAAGTGTGACACTATAAGCTCACTTTACATAAACATTACCATGTTATTAAAATGCTCTACAAGGAAGGGGTTTGAAATGTTTGCTAGCACATCAGTACTTCCTACTTTAATTTCGATATGCTATTCTACCTTCCCCTTGGAAAAACTGTCACCTTAGTGAGACTCACAACACTGTGTTTTTCCAGGATGTGATCCTTGGAGGCCACATCTAAATTTCTCTAAATATTACAATGAAGGTTAATGAACACTGAAGGGTAAGCTTGCACTCAGACAATAAAATAATCACACCCATAAAGTAATTGTGTTGTGTCTTTGTAAGCCACCAAGATAGCAGAGCACAAAATGCTGTCAGCCTGGTCCTGTCATTCTGGACCAGTTTTCTGATCTGCTGAGAAGGTGAAGCAGAAGCAGGTGGGGCAGAGCAGGAGATCTGTGGTTCAGCTCTTATTTCACTTTTTACCTGAGCTGGTACACACAAAGCCTCCAGTAAAGAAATGTCGTGGCCTCACATACAAATACTAATCTATAGAATTTACTATGGGCTGATGGCAGCGCCAATTGCTGCTTCACAAATTTTGCCTTCAAAGATGATCAGACAAATATTTCCAAAAGCAGATCTGGAAATTTTTTGAGACAATTTTACTGAAGCAAGCATCTGTGTGCTCAAAACCTGTATCTGTATGCTCTATGAGAAAATGCCAATGCAAATCAGCTTGCTGGATACATTCTGCTTGATCATGTCTAGACAGGTTGTGAACTGTAATTACTAGCTCTGATTAGTTCAAAATTGAGTCATACCTTTTTTTATCTACTGTGCCTGTCTCACCCACCTGTTTGTTAGGGGCTTCAGAACACAAAGCCTTTAATATACATACTGTTCCTTTCTACTCATCTAGACAGTGCCTAGCACAGTTTTCAACAACTTAAATGGCCTTTGTGTTCTTCAAAATATTAAAAAAAGGGACACAAATTTCAGTAGGGAACAGTGATAGTTTAAAAAGACAAATTTCTATGAAAGATGAAAAGAACTGTGAAAGATAATGTAAATAATTCTCTTTGAAATTTAACAATATAACTATTTAGAAAGACTTAAAAGACTTACAGAGTGCTTGCAACTTACCTGACTTCCTTCTTTTTGCCAGAAAACAGCTGGCTGAGGATTTCCTTTAGTTTCACAAGGAAAAGTCACAGTTCGACCCTGGGCTACAATCTGGTCTCGTGGTCTCACCACAAACTGTGGGGGAGCTAAAAGGTAAGAAAAAACATGGTATAAGTTTAGGATATTTTGCAAGGGAGAGAAAGGGAATATTGAAGGAAAAAGACAACATTATGGAGATTTGTTTTATGTCAGGAGGACATGACACCAGAAACATTCATTAGTATAGACAGGATTAATATATAAACAGAAACAACAACAGCGACAAAGAGAGCAGCAATATATGTATGTGACATCCCCATTATTAAAAAAAAAAAAAAAAATTAAAAAAGGAAAGAAACATTACAGCCATTCATGCTAGAGTCAATTCTGATGACATTAAATGCTAAAGAGCAGAAGTCAGGTGTTTATATTGCTGACTCTGGACGTATTCTACCTTTGTTCTGGAAAGGTATCAGCACCCTCAGATCCTCTCACACTTCACAGAGCTTGCTGGAGCTATTGTGTATTGCAAGGTATGAATTAGGATAAACAGACTGCCTTTCTCAATCTGCCCCTCTGGACTTTTAAAAATGATTGAGAAAGGAGAGAAAGGTCTGGATGACAGCAAAAGAACCCAAGTTTAAGAGCTCCTGCACTCCTCTTGGAAGCAGCTTAGTCAAGAATGGTGTGGGGAGGAGGACTTGCTGTAAAAAGAATCTTTGCTAAATGAACACAAACTTGGTAAATCCAGGTTTCAGCTAGTAGAGAGAGAAGCAAAAATTGAAGAGTTGATGGGGAGAGGTGAGTGGTGAGTAAGAAGGAAGAAGTATTTCAGGAGGCAAGGAAGACACAAGAAAAAGGAAAAAAGGGGACTGGAGTTAAAACAAGAAAGAAGAAGCAGGACTAGCTGTGTTTTCAAGTATCTGGCATTAATGGTGTTCAGTCAGAGGGGGACCAGAAAGCGTAGTCAGAAGTGAACGATTTCTAAGAGAGGAGCATAGTTTTCTGGAGGATAATGGTGGAGAATAGAGAGACAATGCCTAGGAATGCGAAGGTAGAAAAAAGTAGAAATGAGTAGAAAGAGTGTGGGGAAGAAGTGTTAGAGGACTTGAGATAAATAACTTGAAATCAGTAAATATGTTAAGCATGATGTAGAAGTAAAGTAAATGATTTTTCTATGTGGGACATGAAGACTCTCCACTCTTGGTTCATCACTGGAATTCACTGAAAGGGGATTTGAACTCCTTTGTGTATTTTAAAAATGTAAACAGCATCTCAAAGGACTAGCTAACTTTTGGGGCAGGCTGGAGAAGGGAAAAAAAGTAAAAAAAGAAACTCAAACCCCTCACCCCACCCTTGTTTTCTTCTATTCCACTATTGGTTTTGTGGGTGTGCAGGTAAACAGAATTTAAGTGTTTTAGAAAACCGTATTTTCAGCATTATAATTACAAACTATTTAATTAGGCACGAAGAGCAATCAAGACCCAGCTTCCGATTACACCTGCTGACAGCACAGACACAAACCTGCTAACTGCATAGAAACGTGGGCAGACCTGATTCTCCTGAAACACACTTTGCACATATCTCATGAGGTATTTCCCAAGGCTTTACAGATCAGCAAGAGCCTCAAGAGCATCAATGAGTAGTGCTGGCACTCTTTAAATAAGAATTGTAAAGCACTTAACCACAAATCACAATCAGCTTAGAAGGTCGAGGGTATTTTCTTCTGCCTCACGCTCCTTAAGAGAGGTTTGGGCCTCTCTTGAGAGAAGTGTCCACCTCTTCCTCCACCTTAGGAGGTGGTAATCTTATGAACAGGCAGGACTAAGGGTGAGGTGCCCTCTTGCTGCCTGTTTACAGCCACGTGAGGTTTTGCGGTTTCTAGAAGGTGCTGCTAAACATGCTCTAGGAACTGAACTCATGCTATAGCACTCCTCAAGTGCTGAGCTGCAGCCAGCCTCTTGGGTTTCCCTCACCTTGTTTCACCCAGCAGATCCACGTGCAACCCCCACAGGTGCCAGAAAACTGCAGTGTGCTAATCAGTGCGTGTGATTGTTCAGCCCTACAGGAAGGGGGAAAGACCTGTAAGCTGTGAAGCAGAAACCTCCCTTCTATAGACACACTTTACACTAAGCTATCTCGGCTGCTCTGACCACCTGCTTAATAAAGGTCACTGAATTAGCCCAGTGTTTGCTGCTCAGCTATAGAAGTTCATTGCCCAGAGTACTAATATAGAATCAACAGTGACCTCGGGCTCAGCAGAGAGAAGAAACCCCCTAATCTCTTCAGGTGCTATACCTGCTTTTGACAGGAGCTGTGCACACCTGACTCCTGTCTATGCAAAGTTGTGGGTGGCCTCGAGACCACAATCTTTCTATGGTGTCTAAAGCCTGGTGTCTGGAGACCATCCCATAGACCTACCCTAAGCAGGATGGATGGCCAAATTCTTCTTAGGCTTGCTTGCTGCCCTGGGGGTGCACAGACAGCTCAACAGTAGCAAGAAGAGCATGGCATTTCCATGAGCCTGTCCTTCAAATCATGTAACTGAGTAAATATGCAAGGAAGGCAAGTCAAAAGGTTCATCTGAAACACTCTCACACACACAGGTCTCTATTGTAAAACAGTAATTCAGAGCTCCAAACAGATATAACACAACTGGATGTGTTGCTGTAGCAGATCTTTCAAGGATCAAATTAAGGTAATTTGGCAGTCAAGGAACAATGAGAAATACACATGCTGTTTCTTGACCTGTTCCTAATTTTCAACATCTCTCACTTTCCTAAGAGCAGAAAAAAAGTTCCTTTTTTTTTTTTTTTTTTCCCCTTCCTTCCTTCCCCAATCAGACAGGAAAAAGAAATCTGTAGCTCTGACCTGGACTGAACCTGTTGCTCTATTCTATCTCCCTGCCAAGGGGAGTCCTCTCCATCATCTGACCAGACTACATGAGCAGATATTTGGCCTCCCAGTTACTAGGTCAGGCTTTCTAAAGACTCCAGCAAACAATCATGCATAATTATGCAACAATATCTTTTCTAGCTTTGCTCTGCAGCCTTAATTACTAGAAATTAGCTATAAAAATAAATGAATCAGAGCTTTTACTCACATTAAATTGAGCACAAAACCAGTTTCTTCAGCCAAACTACTTAGCATTGTAATTTTAAAGGGCATGAAAAACATAATTTTTGAAAAATAAACCTTGCATGCATTTTTTAAAAAATTATTCAAAGATGGAGTTATATAACGAAGGAAATCTTCATTTTGCCATAGTTTGTTGTCATATTCAGCTATAGGTGTGTTTACAGACAGCCTCTGATAAAAATACCATTGTTTACAGCACTTAATGTTTTTACCATATCAGTTTTATCTGTCAATTTCTAGTTGAACTTGAAAACTGAAAGTAACAGCTAATAATTGCAGGAGAAATTCTTGGTCAAATGCAACTACCCAAATACTGTGACTGTCATTATCCCCAGAGATTGCAGCATGACCCTGCTCAGAGACAGCAAGGCTTCTTTGACAGAACAAGCACTTAGGTTCTTCAATTTTCTTAAAAAAGAGAGCTCATTATGTTCACATATGGATGCTGTTTATAAAGACAGACAAATATTATTACTTCCATTCTGCAGAAGGGTTAAGTGAGATCATGACTTGTTCAAAGCGTGGCTTCAGTGGAACATTGGGCAAAATTTATTCAAGCCATTATTGCTGCTCTCAAAGTAGGTGAATTTCTAAAACATTCTGAAAGTGTGCAGTTAGAGAAGTAACAGCAGGCTTGATATGCTTCAGCTGTTAAAGTTATGGGGTACTTTAATGCTTAATTCAAGCTAAACTTTAAAATCATTTGAAGGATCTGTTGAAAAAACTTACGAAGCAGCAAACTGTGTTGTGCCTACCAGACTATTACTTTTTACTATTTCAGATGTAACATAAACTGGATTGGAAGAAGCAGAGTGGAAAGCCTCTTGCTTAACTGACATCTGAAAGTCAAAGACAGCGGCTCTAAAATGAAATATATTGCTTGGATTGCACCAGACTAGTCAGAAATATGGGGGGAAAAAATAATTTAAGATTACAGACCCAATATACTTCTATTGGAACTTCTTTTCTTCTTTTTTTTTTTTTTTTTTTTTTTTTTTTTTGGGAAATTTAAATAGTACACAGTAAATTAGATTTGATTTTTGTCAAATTATGCTTTGATACTGCATTCAGCAAGCACTGGCTTCAATCAATGTCACACTAGAGCTCTGTTATGCTAATAGATGATATGGAAATCAGATGGTTGAACATGAATAGAAAGCGCAGGCCATGTACGAGGGGGCTTTGAGATGAGGGGATGGGGGGACCCTAAGGTTAATCACATCATGTTCAGAACTGTTTTTACAGCACAGAACAGTATTCGACTGCAGGAATTAAAATGGAGATAGGAAAGCATGAGCAGTAGTGAGCATTAGTTATGTTGTTCAAAATGGGAAGAGTGCATTCTGTTACACTCTCACAGGATGTTGGTGGTTTATGCATGACTGAATGTATCTCTTATGCTGTTAAAAAATGTCTACGAAGGTAGCCCCTGCTCCAGTGTTAAAAAGCTTTTAAAAAAATACAAAAAAAAAAAAAAAAAAAGCTGCATATGATTTCAAAGGGATTTTTCAGTTCTACTCCAATCTTAATAGTTAGCAGAATCTCTAATCTGATAGGATGGATCTAATGCATTTCTTCTTAGTACTGCTGCTGAATACTAAAGGTTACACTGAGTCAACAGGAGCTGATAAAGCTGTTAATGCAGAGAAGCTTGACTGAGACAGAGAGTTCATCCCTTGTAGGTGAACTCTGGTCATCTGATAAGAAATGTGGCAGAGGACTCAGAAGGGGAGGGGAAATTTAATACATAAAAATGTGAATTCATAGCAAAAAAGTACATTGATCCCATATCAAGTACTAGCAACATTTTTTTCCAGTGACAATTTTCTCAGCTGATCTTGTGATTTGGACTTGACATGGAAATCAATGCTCCTATGGGAATTTTATTACCATAACTTGCTCACAGTACCTTCCCCCAGACCAGATGCCCTTGGGTTCATACATTATATTGGTGAGTTTAATTAAAAGT